TTGCACAGTATGAAATGTAAGATATTGCAGAAATATAAAATAAATATTGCACAGTATGAAATGTAAGATATTGCAGAAATATAAAATAAATATTGCACAGTATGTGTGGTGAGGGTGGGATGGCTATGTAATCCTTTTTGTTTTCTGAAACTGCAGTTTTAAATGAAGGAGTAGCCTACATTGTAGAGTCTTGAAAGTCCTTCTGTTAAACTTGACGTCATCATTTGTAGCTTTGGGTCAGTAGAAAACACTGAACTCACCTGGTCACCACCAACGTCACGTCGCTCCGTTTAAACCAGCCAATAACGTGAAGGCAAACAATGACCCCCCCGCTGCCCCTCACTCTTGTCAACTATAGATTCACTTTAAAACCATTAACAGGACGCTCATCCTTACGTCGTCGGTCACGTGACGGTCCATCTATTTGGTGACAGAGTCCAAAAACCGTCCACTGAAGACAAACACACTCTTCTTCTACGATGACAGGTAAGTCCTCCACTTTCAAACGTGTCCATTAGCCTGTAGGTACAAAACACAGGCCTAAATCATGAATGGTAGCTAATGTTGTTTTGTCAAATGTGTTCTGAAGATAAAGTTAAAGAGCTCGTGTCAAAGTGCCTGCAGGCCCGGGACATGGCATACTGTCCATACAGCAGGTTCCCAGTTGGTGCCGCCATATTGTCAGCAGATGGCGCTATAATCACAGGTATTTTCTTTTTTTTTTTTTTCTTTTTTTTCAGCTGAAGTTACTCTATAGGATGAAAATGTTTGCTCATATATTTTTAGGCATTACATTAAATGATCAGCATTAGGCCTCCTGAAAAAGAGCTCCATTTGAAACAGCTAGCCTACTTCATAAGAACGGTTCATCAAGCATCAGTATATGACTCAGGCCTCATGCTGATAGACAAATCAGAGCTTCTGCTAAATGACTGCATACAAAAGGATATTTTGCATAGGCCATAACGGGACATTCTTAATGCAATTCCTGCAGCAAAATCCTTTTAGATTGCAGCGGTGTAAAATAACTACGTTAAATGACTTCAAGTTAATAACAATACATCTTACTTTGCAATCTGGAGACGCAAGATATGAGAGTTTTGAAATTGTTATTTCCTCCTGACCGTTGTCTCAGTTCACTTTATTATTACAGCCTTTTAAATGTTGGTGTAGATATGTGTAAGTAAGGAAGTTGCGTTAGAATAAAACTAACTATAAAGTGTTTCAGATGTAACGGGGTGAGGATGAAAAATCGGTGTAAAATTTATTTGTATGAAATTAAGACTTTTACAAGGCTTTAAAAGAATATCTAAATCCCATTTTCACCACCAAGAAGTAGTCCATGATCTATGTATTTGCGTGTTTTCAGGTTGTAATGTGGAGAACGCCTCCTATGGTCTGACTGTGTGTGCTGAGCGGACTGCCATCCAGAGGGCCGTGGTGGAGGGACACAGACAGTTCACTGCGATTGCTGTTACATGGTGAGACCGTAGACTGAGACCCTGAGCATTGGCATCATTCAAAGAGTAATGTAGCACATGTTCTCAAGTGTTTGTCCTGTCACCCTGTTTTTTATGTACGTAGTGATATCAAAGACCGTTTTGTTGGGCCGTGTGGAGCATGTCGTCAGGTTCTTATGGAGGTAAGAGGCCAGTACACACAGTCATCGTGATACGCTGCAAGAATGTTTTTTGCATGTCAAGCATTTTCTGTCTTTAACTTTAAAATAAAGCATAACCCTTAAATGGGCAGACATGTATAAATATTTTGGAAAATTAATTAATTGCTGTTTTCTATTGAATCTGGGCTAAAATAACACAGTTTCAGGATCCTTTTTTCTCCAATTTAGAGTCTGTATCTCCCAGGATGCATCGACCAGTTAGGGTATAAATTCAACATTTCTCTCCTTTAAAAATGTGCCAACTTTCAAACACTAAGAAACATGAAAAAATTACAAAGCTTACTTCATGGTTGGTGTATTTGTCACCGAACACGGCCATTTTAATTTCACGGAATTTTAATACAAATTGTTTGTATCTATTTGAATGATGTCATGAAGTCACATGACCTGAGTACTTGACCCACACCTCTCATCAGTGTTTCTCATGAAAGTTTGTGCACACACTTAATGTTCCTCCATACCACAGCCTGTCTAATGTCTGTATCCCCCAGGATACAAAAACCATTGAAGGGTTGGGGCCACACATGCAACTGGCTTTTTTTTACTTTTATAAAGAAAGATACCCCTAAAGACATAAATAACACCCAAATATTACTAATTGATTTATGCATATTTTATAAACTTAGAAGTAATTAGACTCATTGCCTTATTCCAAATTAACAACAACAGGTAGAGGCTTTATTCTTCTTTCTGTCAAACTGTTTTTCTTAAGAATGTCATGTGGTTTCTGATATCCCAAAAAGACCTAATTTTAGGAAAATGTAAATACATCATCTGTTTTGGTATATGGGCGTCTGAATGGGCCGTGGTCTCAATGTTAATATCACTTCTATTTATGAAGCTTCCTATCCATTGCATGATGCAGTTTGTTTCTCTGTCTCCACAGTTTGGATCAGAGTGGGTCGTGTACTTGACAAAGCCAGATGGGTCTTACAAAGAAACCAGCCTCAGTGACCTGTTGCCTCTGGCCTTTTCCCCAGAACACCTGGGAAAGAACTGAAAAAGCCTCATCAGCATCTCAACACATCACCTTTTGTTACTTTTGTAGTTTTAGTTTCACAATCTGCAGAATTATGTTGCAAAAACTGAGAATGTGGTCACAATAAAAAAAATCCCCTCAAATGTGTGTATTATTCTTGTTATTATTATTATTATTATTATTAAAGGGTAACTAAACCCCAAGACCACCTTTTTCAACTATAAACCTCTATTTGAGTATTAAGAAGTGTTGTGGATCAATCCAGGTCCGTATCTCAACATTTGAGTACAAATATTGAAATTCTTATTATTATTTAATAATAATAATAATAATAATAATAATAATAATAATAATAGCCTAATAATATACATCTGAGCTTGCCCGAACCCAATTGATGCCCTAGTCAAGATTTTAGCTGGTGCCCCTTGTATTGTAACCAACTCCAACATTCATACACTTAAGGAAAACTGGCATACCACTTTATGTTTTACGGGCTTTCTATATTTAAACTTGATATATAGACGTACTGTCAGTGTAACTCACTTCTGATAACTCATCTGCCCTCCTCCCACACAAAGAGCAGGCATTTTATCAGATATATGGCCAATCTGGGAATAAATTCCTTACCAACCCATTTCTACACCAATGTGTTTCTAAAGGTGTCTAGTTACACATATAAAAATATTTAAATTCAACTCCTGTAGGAAAATCTGTGAGAGCTGCTGAAACTTCGGGTACCTGGAACCTTATTGGTTAAAAATTTGAATTATTATTATTATTTTTACATGTGCCTTAAATAGCATGTGAGGGGTCAAATTAGGGGTTATTTGGGATGCTGAATCCATTGCAAACATTTATTTTGCACCAAAACCAGTCCTTGGTAGAGAAACAGCCACGGTGAAAATCAATGTTGCTTGTTGCATGTGAATTATAAAGTATCTTCATAGGTCTATTTATAAATGTATTAGTGATGGTAACTTCCTTTTATTAAATGTTAAATGTTGCTGTTGGTTAACATTTCTAACAAGAGAGTGAGTTTTGAGTGGCAGGTGCCAGACGTGCTCAAGCCATTCTGTGATCATGGACAGTGTTGTGGATTTTTCTGTTGGTAGTGAAAGAGCTCAAGTCAAAGTCTTTTGTCGGTGTGTATTTTATTGCATATAGTAAGAGTTCTTTTGCAAAAGGGGTAATCAGCTGCAAAAGTAACATCAGTCACAAGATTCCCGGGGCAGTCCCGGTTGCACAGCATATTTATACTTTCACAGGGTGTAGGTATTTTGCATATACATGAGTGTGTAGGTATATTACATATACATGAGTAAAACATTGTCATTGGTTTCAGCTTGCCCTAGTGACTACGCCTTCTGCTAGTTTGCCTGGTGATTTATCTACGCAAGCTTCTTTCTATAAGGTACCTGGTACGGAGGACCACCAACAGCAACTCCTTTGTCAGGAGGGCACTGATTTAGGGTCATGCTGTACTCAGATAATGAGGAGAGTGCCTGTTGGAGATACAGACCAAGGCCATACAGAGAAACAGTTTTTAACTGCTAAATGACGCACAAACATCTAAATCTTCTTTTGTAACATTACTAAATAATAGCATGAAAACTATATTAAATAAAATAAAATTTAGTGGTAGTTAAGCACATATGAGGGACAAAAATGAGTATAAATAAATAAATAAATGAATAAATAAATGTTGGGAGAAATGCATACAATAATGTATAAATAAATAAATAATAAAATAAATGCCTCAATAAATATATAAATAAATATATATATAAATAATGCAACAATTCATATAAAAAATAATATATAAATAAATATATTCATATCTTTATTTATGTATTTCTGTGTCCATGTTGTACAAGGAAAATAAAATATGTAAATTAAGTGGGCCGTCCTAACATTACTGAAGTAGGATTGGTAAATTTTGAAAAACAGACAGAAGCAAATTTACATATATACTTTTCCTCTTACGACCTGGACACAGAAATAAATAGATGTGTAAATGTAGAAATACTGAAAATAAATGAATAACTCAATTAATGTGGAAATGTATGCATTGATACATATATAACTGTAGAAATACGCTAATAATTGAATAAATACATGTAAAAATATATAGATAGCCTTTTTCATTAACAAAGTGTATTCATTATTTATTCATTGATGTATTGTTTTCAGCATTTATATATTTATTTATACATTATTGCATGCATTTCTCCCATCATTTATTTATTTATTTATACTTTCGTCATTTTTTGTCCCTCATAAGCACATGTTTTCTTCCCTTTCTTCTCATTATCTTCTTCTTATCTTCAGCCCTACGCAGAGAATTTACCAGAGAAACAAATGTGACGTCAGTGAGTGGGCGGGTCAGGAATCTGTTTCCGGAAACATGGAGGCTGTAGTGAGCGATGTGGTAGCTCCTGAAGACCTTTTAGTAAGTTTTATAATCATGTTACCTTTATCAATATTAAAACATGAGTTTTAATTCATTACAGGGACTGTTACAAGATGTTTAGACTCGGAAAATGCGGAAATTACGGAGAAATGGAAGCTGTGGGAGGATACTTGGTTGCGTGACACAGCGAGCTGAAGCTAATGTTGTTTAATGTTTATGATCTAAAACAGGTTCGCGGTCAAAGTGACTTTATACCTAGATTTATATAAATTACATTAAGTTACTAATGTGAGAAAAACATGTTGTATCTCCGTTACAGGTGGAGATGAACTACTATTTGAGCTCTTGTTTCCTCAGGAAACATTTCACTATTTGTTGCTACGCAGGCTCAAACAGAAGTAGGCCTATTAACGATAATGACATTTGTCTAAGTGCCAGTCTCCACGGATGATTAAATAAAGGCTGAGCCCAACACAACTTCACTTCTTTTTTTGTTTTGACAGAAATTTGAGAAGAAATACAACAATGAGCTGATGAAAGGAGCTGTCTCCAAAGACACCAAGTTTGAATATGCTTGGTGTCTGATCAGGAGTAAATACACTGACGATATCAAGAAGGGAATCGTGCTCATGGAAGGTGAGTTCATTTAGATTCATTTCATAATTGTCTGAGATAAATATTAGAATGACTGTAGCCTATTAAGAGTTTAGTTTTGACTGATTTTTGTATTAATTTTTTGATACAGTCTAACGCCAAAGTTGTGATACAGTTTCGTCATCATATTTGAAAACATAAGATGTGTGCTGCTGCCCCGTTGGCCAGGTCAACCTTGTGAAAGAGCTCTTGATCTCAATGGGTTAATTACCTGGTTAAATCAAAATAAATGAGTTTGGTTCTTTAGTTTGTGTGAATATTTCAGACATCGGTTTTAATTTGTCAGCCTTATCAAAATTATGTTGCAATGTCATGTGTGAAAACGTTTCATCCAGACTTTTGCTAAACACATGTGTGATAATGCGAAAATATCCGAATGGGGTAATTGCAGCCTCAATGTTTGCATATTAAAGATTTCTGTGACATATAATCTTCTTTGTCTTTCATTACAATTTCATCCATGTTGTTGTTGTTGTTTGCTTTGTGTTAGAACTTGTTCAAAAAGCCTCAAAGGACGACTCTCGGGACTTCTTGTTCTACCTTGGTGTTGCGAACTACAGACTCAAAGTAAGTCTCTATCCCAAAGTCCAGGCGATATTATTTAACTGATGGCATTCGTTTACACTTGTAAATACAGCCTTCCCTATCAAAGCTAAAGCCTGGCTCACACTGCAGGATAATCGAGCCGATTTGAGGTCCGATACTTCCTTCCCGACAATCGCAGGGTCACTCCCGACTCAACGCTGTTAGGAAGCGATTATCTGCTCAGATTATCTGAAAGGGTCATGAAAGGGTGTGACAGAAGTCGTGTGTGAATCACAGAGTGAGACGAGGGAGGACAGTAATAAGTTCCATTGTTATTGATCATTGCATGAGGTCATTCGAGGTGATGCGTTCCTACATCGGGCACAATAATCTTAGATTTTCATATCTTGTAGCGTGAGTGTGTTTGAGATCATGGAGAAGAATATCTGTTAGGACTCTCCTAAAGTGTGTGTGATGCTGCCCGGATTCAAACTCGGGAAGGATTTAAAAAAAAAAATCTGCAGTGTGAGCATAATGCTTCTTTTGAAATGTGCAATTATCTGAGAGTGCTCTCCCCTGTTCTTCTTCCAGGAATATGAGAAAGCTCTTAAGTACATCCGGACTCTTCAAAGGAATGAGCCAGGGAACAAGCAGGCTCAGGATCTGGAGAAACTCATCGACAAGGCTTTGAAGAAAGGTAACAACAAATCTGTGTACAATGACTTGATTTGATGAGTTGTTTAAGGGATTTAAAACAAAATACTGACACCCACATGTTGTCTTCCAGATGGCCTGGTCGGCATAGCGATTGTCGGGGGGCTCGGCGTTGCCATTGCCGGTGTTGCGGGCCTCATTGGCCTGGCTGTGTCGAAGGGAGCTAAATCCTAACCCGGACACAGGACTACGTGTCTTGATTTTTGCTGGACTGACACACTGACTCTCCCCTGCATACACATTAAAATTGAAATGTTGCAAATGCTTGAAGAGTTCTTGAAGGATATTGGTTTGAGGTTTAATATGAAAAAAATCCAGCTCAAAGAGTTTAAATAATGTCCTGTTTTCATACTTTAACAGTTTGGATTCATCATAGATACATGATTTAGTTGTCTATTCTTTATATTATTTGTGTAAATAAATTAGAATACTAAAGGTGCAGCTCAGCTTTATGTTATCACGTAGTTGGTGTGCACTTCAGCCTAAACTTCTTACATTTTTTGGTTTAAAAATATATCCATAAAGAGTGCAGTTGTGTTTCTGTAACTGTCTCTTAAGTTGAATCACAGGGAAAGTGTTAAGGGTGCAGGAGGAAGTGTAGCTCGTAATGCCAAAAGCAACAGTTTTGTTAGTTTCCTGATGAGGTAGGAGGGGCTCTGCTGTGGAGGCTGTCGTTGTTCAGTTGTATGTGCGACCTGAGGCTTCTATTCATTTCTTCTGAATACTCATTTTAATAAAGGGAGGCAATGCACGTTTTGGAAATATGTATCCTTTGTTATGTATATTGCACCCCAACATTGACCTGTGTTGCATTTAATTGCTTGTGTTTTCCAGATTGTCAAATAAAATGATTTTGAACTAAAATTAAGATTTCTGTTGCAAAGAAATAGTTGTCTTGCTATCCAATGAAAACCGTCTTCTTAACCATTCACACTGATCTGTGAACTATGCACACTGCACCTTCAGCCAAGTATAGCAGAGGAAATAAGTGAAGATAAAATAAAACACACTTTATTTTAGCAGGCCTAAGTTACATTTAAAAGAATGGCATTGTTTATTTTGTCTAGCATGTGGCAACACTTAAAGAAATATTTTATTTCAGTCAGGAATACTCGTCATAGATTTAACCATTTATTGCACTTATGGGTTGTACAGTTGTCTTTGGCAGTATTGGTTCTGCTCTTAGCTCTCCGCAGTATCAGTGTAGCATGCAACAGATCTGGCTCAGAGTGCAAACCTTTAATTCTCCCCATGAGGACAGAACCTGAATGTGCATGTAATGATACGGACATCTTGCACACATAACAAGCTACCAATTCATCATAGAATATAAAATGTGACGACTGAAGCAGCACTGTGACGTGGTGGAAGGAGAACTTCACAGCAGTTTCTAGCAGCAGAGTGGATGTGATGCAAGAGGAGTGAGAGGCAGAAGAATGATTTAAATAGACCGCCTTGTTGTCAGAGTGTGATAATGATTGGATGGCATTGGGTACTACCGTATGCCGCCTGAACTAACGCAGGGCTCCATGTTTATTTATTTTAAAGAAAAAACTTGTCACTTTTTATATTAAAAAAAACAGAACACGCTCCTTAGGGTGGCCTGAAAATTGGCACTGTGCAGTGGCGCAGTGGGGTTCAATCCTTGAATCACATATCTTTGTTGAAATGTTGTGTCACACATTTCCAACCAACATTTTTTCTATCTGTTGTTTTTGTCGGAAGTCAGATTGCAACATAAACTACCAGTTGCTTTATGCACTCTGCGTTCCTATTTAGTGTCAATGCTAACAAAAAATAACATTTCAAGATATTTATTTGTACAGGTTTTTCCCAAATTTTATAGGGGACATATGAAAAATCCACTTTCATAAAAACACTGACAGAGTAATGTCTACTGGGAAAACTCAGGGGGGGCTCATTGGGCTCAAAATGGAGCGTTCTGAGAGAGCTGGTTTATACAGGTCACAAACCTCCTCTGGTGCTTGATTCATGTTATATTTTTACCAAAGCACAGCACAGATGTTTCATTTAGACCACAGAGGATTGTTTGAAAAGGTGGAGAAGGGGGATAATATGTTCTCTTACAGTTAAACTTTGGGAGTCCCTAAAACTGCACTGTCTGAAAATATGACAGAAATTATTTTCTTTCAGATGTTACATACAGGCTTTTGCATCTTCAAAGCAGCATGTTGTCTAGATGCATTTCGGTAGTGTGATAGGAAGAAATAAATATGAAATGGTATCATCTGCATATAAAGATATTATGAGCATCTCTTGTTTTTTTTAACTGTTATGAAACACGAGGAAACAGTGATTTTCAAATGATTAAACCTGCATCATTTTTTTTTATCAACGGTGTCTATTGTTGATGGAGCAAAGTCCAGTAATTAATTCCATTCTTATCACTGCCATGTATTGACATTATGACATTTACGATGAGGTGTTGTAGGACAGCACATTCTGATCTGTCTCAGTGAGTCTTAAGCACTAAGATAAGACTGTATGTGTCTCAACTAAAACGTGCCTGCCCTACTTTGCGTCGCAGTCGATCAGGGCGCTTCATGTTGCCATTTTACAACAGGAAGGCTAATAGAGGCTATCAGTTGTGTTTGGTGTTATCAGCCTCATGGGGGTGTTACTCATTAACCAACCTGACGGGACCGAAACTGCATAGGCACATGCAGAACAGTAATCCTCTCTGGTGTGAAAGTGATCGAGTGGATGAAGAAAAGAAAAAGGATAACGAGGAGGGTATAAGGCCCCACATTTTTTTTTAAATCTGATATCCAAACAGAGGGCAGAAAACACACTTTATAACTAAGCAAACTTGTCTTTAGAATCAGCCTTTTTAAAGTTTCCCAAACGTGTACAGAAATGATTCCTCAAAGCCGGTGTAATTCAGATCCACTTAAGTAATTTTCAGTTACAAGGGCCAATGTTCAATGAGTACCTGCAGACTTGTACACAACTGAGAGCTATTAATGTGTAATCACCTGGTAGAAAGGGAATAGTGTAGCTTAGAAGTGTATTGCCCAAGTTACACCTTGTTTTCGTGTCATCACTGTAATTTGAAGTAACTGTATAATCCAGAAGAACTGCCCTTTATTGACACTTAAGTGACAGAGGCTGTAAATTTAGATATTTGTCACAATGTAACGTGATGTTTGTGCGTCATCTCCTCCAAGATTTAATCATTCACCAGCATCTTTTATCGGCTGATTATGTGCTCAGGTGTTTTTTGCAGAGCAGTGATCCCGTAAGAGATAAATAGGAAAGATGCTTATCTTTATCGATAAGGATAACAAACCTTCTTTATAGATCTTATCTATGATACAGTCACGTTTATTTTGTGGTTGTCTGAATTCTGCTCTGGCTGTAGAAAAAACAAGCTAGCTGGTTGAACTGCTTTGTAGTGTCGAAATTGTTTCCACACTCAACCCACTTCAGTTTGAAAACTACAGACTGGAATCACTTGTGCCCTTTCTGTAAGAAACACATGAGCGCACAGAACTCTGTGGCTCAGTTGGTAGAGTCGGTTGTCTTTCACCTGGAAGGTTGGTGGTTCCATCCCTAGTTCATTCACATGTCCGATGTGTGCCTGGCACAGGGTGCTCCTGCTGCTTCGTCGTCGGCGTACAAATGTGTATGAATGGGATTAGTTATTGGCACTTTACATAGCAACCCCTGCCATCAGTGTGTGAATGTGTAGATGTGGCATGCGGTGCAAAATTGCAGTTTTATTGCTGCTGGACCAGTCAGCTGTCCTTGACACAGTTAACCATCAAATCCTCCTGGCATTGCTCTGTAAACTTGGCACCTCAGGATTGTAGTGATCTATTTCTATCTATTGTAGTGGGTTATTGGCAGTAACCCACGCTGTTTGTCTTTATGACTTCTCTTTAATGAGTTCCTCAAAGAAAGTGAACGGAAAAGTATTTCAACTCCTTAATCACATGACAGGTTGTCTTCACTGACAAGGCCTCTGTCATTTATTGTTTATTTATTCATGAAAACAAACTCATTAAATACCACCGCTTGGGCAAATGGAGTTGTAAAAGTTTCGCAAACAGCCATAAAATTAGACATTTATGGGGGGCGGGATCCTGTTTTCCTAACAGCTCAGGTGGATGTGAAGAAGACTGATGGGTTCAGATTTACACGTTTGTGGTGCCAATTTCAGTCTTTATTTAGGAAAAATTAGACAGTAGGGCAAAAAAATAGTACTGTATTTCTCTATTTATAAATATGACTTAAAATACTTCTAATAATCTTATTTCAATCATGTCAGCATAGCTGCAGCTTGACTCATCCTGCCTGGTTGACACTTGAGGCACTGAGTTAATATTCTGCTGAGACATATTTCAGCTCAAGGTTATTTGGTGATCTATAAACTTACCACAGTGCTTCTTAAGCTATTCTTTATGTAGTGTAACAATTTTAAGAACATGTGCTCAATTACCTGGTTTTTGTAAGAAACCCAGCAGCAGTGTTCTTAAAGAGCAGAAGTTGTCTATATAACTAACTATATAAATATTTTTTTCAGAATCCAGCCAAGAATGGCATATTGTGATTGTATCAAAAGAAAAGAAAAAAAGCTTCTCGACTCCTGTACTTGCTTATTTACTTTTTATCTGAGATGACAACATGCAGTTTTTTAATTACATTTTTGAATTGGTGATGATCCTGAAGTTCAGATTTGAATCTACCAAAAACAAAATTTGAACCGATGCTTTTTCCAAACGAGCTGTACAAATTCACTCTTCCATTTCCAAAGAATTTCAGGAGGAATGTCCCTGAGACCCTCCTGATTTCACTATTCACACATGCACCTCACAGCAGGAGACTAAATCATTGTTGGACAAAAGAAAGAGCGGGTGGGGAGGTCCTCTTAGGCAATGCATGACATAAAAAGAATGATGCGGAAGTGGCAGAAGTCCTGTTCGGACTGACGTTTCAAGACGCAATATAAATGCCACTGTGATGTTTCACCTTCGATCTGAATCTCGAGGGGACATGATGGGGGGGATAAAGTGATCCCACCTGTGTATCGTCTTCTGAGGTAGTAACAGAGGTAATACAGAGGCAGGATGGTTTCAGCGCAGTGCTGTGTGTGCGCGCATGTCTGACTGTGTGTCAGTGTGGAGCTCCAAGTGTGCCATGCTTCCACAAGGCCGAATAGAATTTGAATTCACATACTGGGACAATATCATTGTCTGATCTGGTTTCACAGCAGTTTAAAACAAAAGCCATCATTCATTATTTTCATGACAGTCAGCAGCAAAATCTCTGATCTACAGATTCTACAGAGATCCCATTGAATGGGGAATGTTAAAAAATGATGTAGAATAAAGACAGATCTTTTTAAATAGTGCAAGTTTTTCCCGCATGAATTCACTTTAATTGTTGTTCCATGAAAACTCATCATCTGGGTGAACGAGAAAGAGCTTCTTTGGCAGAGATAGCCCTGAGGGATGAGCACCACATAATTTGGCATTATGGGTTTGTGCTAACTTCCATGAAAATCTTGGAAATCTTAAAGTTTCAATTTAAATTAATCTGTGAGATTTAAGAGAGACTGGGTTGTGTTAACATGTATGATGTGATCTACAGGTGTACAGGTTGAATCATGGTGGCCCAAGAATTGAACCCTGGGGAATGCCAAATGTCATGGTGACCCACTCCTATTTATGACATCTAATGGCAACAACATAGTCCCTGCCTTTGAGATATGATCTGAGCCAGCTGAGGACTGTGTCAAATAATCCCATGTTCTAATTTGTCAGAAAGTATTCTATGGTCCAAAATGATCAAAGATTTTATTGAATGAAGCTGCGTCAAAACTGATGTTTTACCTGAATTAATATTCAGGTTAATGGAAATGTTATACTGTCGTTGCTGGGTTGTTGTATGAGGACAGAGTGAAATCTGAGTTGGTGTGTCAGGTTACAAAAGCTATTGAGTTAAATCAGAGCAGTTTCTCAAGATATAAAAAGAGAAGAGAAATTATATATTTCTAGATATTTTATATATAAGAATGCAAATGGATCCATTAAGACACTTCATATATCACTTAATGAATACTCACCAGAGCTACTTTGGAGAATCATTGAGAGCTCTAAGAAGACTAAACATGACTTGTGAATGGTGACAGATAACCAGGATTTGGTGACTTTGCGAATAGCACCAGTTTCTTTTGATTGCCTTTTAAAACATCAGGGGAAAAAGCTGAATGGCACACAAGGTCCTGTCCTGTCCTGGGAACATTATTATGAAAAGCATTATCCTTGTGGCTTGAACCAAATAGATATCATTGAGAGATTGTTGTTTGTTATTCCTAATCACTTGTGTCACATGTGCAAACTGAACAAAGTGTTCTGTTATCAGAGGCAAATAAAGAGATAGGAGATTATGATGATGCCCTTTAATGGGGTTGGAACATGTCACTATTTATATCCTAACCTAACTGATGACTCCAGAGGGAAGAGGGGCAGGGGGGGGGCGGTCTTTCTAGGAGGTGAGAAGAGAGGGGTTGGGTTTTGGAGGTTTTCTGAAGCTTAAGATCGGTGATGTAAGAAATGAGGATAACAATATCACATCTGACTGTGCAAAAGGTGATCAGCCTAATAAAAGTTGTTAATCATCAGTAAAACACACTTAGTGAAAAGTAGGCTTACATGAAATTAAAAAAAAATTAAAGGACCATTATTGAATAGCAGAATGTTATTAGAATTGTATTCTTGATGCTTTTGCATTTTTATGCAATTTTTTTTTACAATGCCGTATAAATAACAGGGGTGGGCAGAGTTAATAACAATTTGACTGTCTTTAGCCGTTCATCGGTAAACAAAGTTGTAAACATTGATAGCAGCTAATCAAGTGAAATGTCAGTCCCTAATTCTTTTTTTTCAGTTTCAGAGCACTGGGTTTCTAGCGCTCATCATTCCTTCTTGGTAAAAATCATTTGCTCTAAAGCGTTGGACTAATAGATTTCCAGAGAGGACTACTGGCATATTTATTGCCAGACAAACTGCCTTTTTGTCTGCATGGCTTGCCTTAGCATTCACTTTTCTACTGTTCTTGGGGTATAGTTCATGATGAATTGACTTTATTTCCACTCAGACTTTATTTTGAACTGGTGGTTCATAGTTTTAAGCACAGGTCTGATGGCCGCTAACAAGCTTTGGCTAGGCTAATGCTCTGCAGTCATTGTAGTTCAGTTCTGCAAAATACTTCTGCTGTTTGCAGCCCATATTTCAAAGTACCTAAGAAGTAATACAGTACAAGTGATAATAAATCTTGCGGTTGATTTGTAACTGTTTGTTTTACTGTTCATGATCAAAACATGCTAATAAAGCAGAAGGCAAGCAGTAAAGCATCTGCTATGGAAGTAAATACTTTATATATCCAATATTCCGAAAATTTGATTTTGGCTTAAAGCTAGCTCTTGTGTTAAGGGATCATAAAATATATTTAAATCCATCCTGAGGAGGAACATGAATGAGTGTTGTTAAAGATTTTGTGTAGCCTTCACATTTCGAGAACTTTCACCAAAAAACCACAACCTCATGGTGGCACTCGATTAAAACTCTGGGATAACACAGAGGATTGGTGTTCTTGTACTGAAAAGTCAGTGCAAATGATTAACAGTTCAAGGAATTTCTGTTTCACACATTTGTACCTCTCAATTCCCCTAAACCACCAAAAATATTGGATCAGTTCACTATTGGTTAGTTTAATAGTTCTGTTTTTGTCCCCTCATTCTTGACCTTTAAACAAATTGGCTTTGTCTGCGATGCAGGTTAAGATTTATCTAAATATTATCAGTGAAGTGAACTTAGTGTGCCCTGGATTTGGCAACGCTGACCCAGCAGCTATCGGGAACATAATTAATGATGACACACAAACACAGAAACCACAGCACGAGCCGGGTAACTAAAGAGCTTTTGTCTCAGCTTTAAGCTGTGTCCTTGAATCAAAAAGATTACATGCTGGTTATTCTCCAAAAAGATTATAAAATACAGAATGTGTTGCTCACTGGTTGTGACCTTGACCTCTGTGTTTTTAAAAATAAAACAATAAACTTTGATGGTGCATGTAGCTTTATAGAAAATGCTCTTTCACCTGAGCACGAATAAATGAGTGAAAAGATACATATGTCATTATTCTTTAGAAATATTATCACAAAAAGACATCTATTAAAAGACAAAATGTTTAACTAATCATCAAATCTCCTCATGTTTCAGGTCATTCCTTATTAGCTTTGTGATTGGATGCATTTAAAAGCAAAAAAAGTGATCCAATATGTCTCATAAACATGCAATGTCATTAGGAGTGACCATTGGACCCTGAGAGTGAGCTGATAAACACCTGCTCAGTTTCAGGGGTGTAAAATGCGACAAAAAGAAGAGGATATACTTTTTTTGTGCAGGGAGGGGGGAGGAGAGAGAGAGGGCGTCATATAAATCATTATACATATCTGTGGAGCAGGGTTCATCTTGCAGTGGCAGACGAGACACAACACACACTCACACTCACTGATTTCCATCTAACATTGTGAAGTTTTATTGTTTTTTGGAGAAAACGACATCTGGATTAACTTTTTTCTCAACTGCTGTGCTCAGGAGGAATCATGGATCCTATTGTGGAAGTAGTGGCTTTTATTTTAGGGTTCGTTGGTTGGGTGATGGTGGGGGTCACCCTGCCGAACCGTTACTGGAAAACCTCCACTGTGGACGGTAATGTCATCACAACCTCCACCATCTATGAAAACTTGTGGATGTCATGTGCAACAGATTCAACTGGGGTCCATAACTGCAGGGAGTTCCCTTCACTGTTGGCTTTAAGTGGTAAGTTAACGGAAACAAACCATCAAATTGCAATGAAAGTTTGTAAAAAATTGGAGAAAAAAAAGTTTCTTTTTTTGTCTGGAAAAATAGTTCTGCAATGAGAACATCCCTGTTAAAATGTCAAGATTGTATGACTCCTTTGACAGCAGTTCCATTTTTTATTGAACTCTGTCCGACATCACACACTGGTTTTAATCACATGATTGTTTTCAAGGCAGCTGACTAGTGAAATACAGTGAATTATTGGCTCTTCTTCTATATTTTCCTTGCTTTATTCAGGCTACATCCAAGCATCTCGGGCCCTGATGATCACATCTGTAGTGCTGGGCTCGTTTGGACTGGTGGCGGCCCTGATAGGAATACAGTGCTCAAAGGCCGGAGGGGACAATGTTCTTCTCAAAGGGAGAATTGCTGGTACTGCTGGAGTCCTTTTTATATTGCAAGGTAATAAAGACCAGAACCTTGTTTTTTTTAAAGTGCATTTCATCCTGGTTTCCTGAAAGGCTTTGGACCTCGTGTCACGTTCTGGAAGCTGCTGCCACTTACTCATTAAAGAGTATTTGATTTTTCTTTTCTTATCTTAAGGCGTGTGCACAATGGTCTCAGTGTCGTGGTACGCCTTCAATATCACTCAGGATTTCTTTGATCCGTTCTATCCTGGGACAAAGTAAGTTAAAGGAGGATGTCTATGAGTCTGATCATGAGGCATAGTAAATGTTGGTTGGCTGACAATCTGTCGTGTCTCAGGTATGAAATAGGAGAAGCGCTTTACATCGGCTGGTGCTCGGCCGTGCTCGCTATCGCAGGAGGAGCCTGTCTCACCTGCTCCTGCAAAATGGGCAGAAAGGAAAAATAGTAAGTACAGGCCTAACTATTTCTGTATGCAAAAATATGATAAAGATGCTCCATGCACTAGAAGTACACGTGTGAAGTTCTACTAACCGTAAGATGAAAAAAGTATTTTCTGAGATAATAGACGGAAAAGTAAAAATAACAAACATGTTACGATTGGTTCAATGTATCAATGAATTGTTCAAACTGCAAAAAAATCACACACAGTTATTAGTAATTTGAGATAATTCATATCTTTAAAAACCATATTTGCACTTAAAACAGGAAATGTACAGGTAGATCCATGAATTACAGATGTAAACTAGCTCTGTATCAATGTACAACATTTATGTTTAATAGTGCACATGGTCCCTTTACAAACAAAAATAAATAAATAAGAGGAGTCACTTTATTGTCAATTCTAATATATTTAAGACACAAAGGATTGAAATGTCAGTTTCCCAGACATTAGGGTAACAGATTTTTTTTTTTACAACAAACAGTGGACACAGAAGACAGAAAAAAGTGGAAAAGACAATTTGTCTTTGTCGGTGGACAAATATAGCAGCAGTCATGTCACAATGATTGCTTCTTATGTACTGGTTGACGTGCACATTATGGAAACTTGGGAAATGTTTTACTCAGGAGGACCAAAAATAAACCTGTTAAAAACTAACTGATCTCTGATCACCTCGTGGGCAAACCTTTGAAATTCAACAGAGTTCATTTTTAACACAAGCTCCAGATGGAAATGATGACCCAAACTTATCGGTATTCAACCATCAGAGTTTTGGAGTTTGTCTTTCATGTTTGCACAGATTGCATCTGGATAAACACAATATAAAAGATGCAACCGGCAGTGGAATTGTTTGGAAGGAGAAAGCCTCACCAAGGCCTTTAACTGGTTTCAGCCACTTATGTGAAGAATTTAAAACTGAGTTTGGTCCCATCTAGTGGAAGTTTTAAAAAACACAGCTACAAGTTTACAAGTTGACAGCGTACACTGTAGATCAAGAAGATGAAGCAATGAATAGACTTCTGTCTTTACGGATCTCATTTGACTTTCAGCTGAGCACAGCTTTGTCTATCATTTCATTGTGAAACAGAATACTTTCAGAGTATAGAAATGTTTAGGCAGGAGAAGCACAGGTTTTAATGTTGTAACCGTATTACACAAGGTGGAGGGCATATACAATTCCAAAATGTTGGTCTTAGGTTGTCCTGCAATTAGAAGAATCATAAGTGATAACACACCTGACCTGGAAGGAAGCCCTACATCAGGGTTATGTTGTGATGTCAGATATAACCCTAACCCTAACCCCATTAAAGAGAACCTAAAATAGATCAAAACAATCACTAATGTTATTATAAACAGAATCTCCTCGTTTCCTTCTTTTACAAGTCCAAATGTCTATAGTCTATGACATTTGGGGACCTAAAGCTATTTGTACATCCAACTTCAGTGACTGATATTTTTGTTTCACTTTCTTGTTTTGCAGCCCTTTGGCTTATCAGTCCAGAGGAACTGCATATTCTGGACCGGCCCCGACAAGAAGTGTTGCTGCAAGTACCTATGGGCGTAATGCGTATGTTTGAAAACAAATAAGACATTTCTTAAAATAGTTAGGTATCATTTTTTTTTTATCATCTTAGGTTTTGTGAAAGAGTTAAATATATCCTGGTGTTCAGTTTTACACTTTAGATTGCGCTTTTTCTCAATTACTTTGAAAGGCTCCATGTCTATTAAATGACATGACACTCCAGATATTGTCACCAAATACAGCTCAGTTGTGTCACTTCCATCACTGAGCCGTATTTGGTGTCAATATCTGGAGTGTGTTCTGTACAAATGATTGTATCAAATGGCGTTAAAGTTGTATAAGTTGTAAAATACAAAGGAACCACAAACAGACTGTAGCTTGCAATGATTCTATTTATGTTTCCCTGATGATGCACAAATACATTTAGCCTACATGCAGTCACTTATTAAAAGGTTCCAATCATTTCATAATTCATCCGTCTATGTGTTTTGTACAGTTTTATAAATAATGACTTTTAAAGAGAGGAGAGGAAAAGTTATGGATACGTTTTGGAAAAGTTGTATCTTTTTTTGTTTGTTTTTATACGAATGTACACAATAAAATGTTTTATGCAAAAAAAAAGTTGGTTTGACAAACAAGTGGTGGCTTTTCTACAAATGATTGCAAAGGTATTTGTATAACTTATGTATTATATATTTATCAGTCATCTGAGTTAGATATTTAACGTAATTGTTAATATTCTTGACAAATGGAAATGATAGATTATGTCGCAGTTAATTGAAAGTGATCACATGATTTTTTTATCTAATACATATGAGCCCATGTGTTCAATAGTTAACCAACTTTTTGAATTTAAAAAAGGATTTTATTACAAATAGAAATTTTCATGTCCTCATATTTATGAATTTGCGAGACATTGTTGCATGAAGAGGAATTTTAAATCTACAATAACCAACATGCTAGAAAAAATTTGGTTTTATTGCTGATTCAATTTGATTATCAAGTTCAATGCTATCTACTTTTGCGTTTCATTATTCCTCACAATAATGAGAATGGGCTATTGTATTCTCTGTAAACACATAAACACTGAATAAACCTGGAAACCAAATCTTAAGTCGCAGTAATGAATTATACTTTCGGTTTCTTTTCTGTAAAAACGTGGAGTTAACAAGTGTAGCCAGTTTTTCAAGTTATTTACATAATGAGTGGATACAGAACATATCTCCTGTGTGGCCCATGCAGGGACATTGGGAGGGGGGGAGGAGGGGGAGGGGGGAGATATGTGTTGGCTAAAATAGTCCCTCCAATGAGAGCAGCCCACGTTTCCAGAACGACGCGGATGTAACGCTTCGTGGACCAACCACGGAGATGTGGGGCAGAAAGGGAGGGGACGACGAAACCGGAGGCAAAAAGACTTTCGTGTACCGACTTTTTTTTCTGACTGTCAGCTGCTGAACTTTTAAATCAGCATGCTACGTGAAGGCGTTTAAGTTCAGAGACTGTTTCAGCACCTTTGGGGTTTTTGTTTTTTTTGAAAGGCTGTTAAAGCTGAACGGTGTCAGGAGGAACCTTCGAGCTGCGTGCCTCATTTTCAACCCGGAGTACTGTCTCAACGGGACCGTAAATATAACCCACCATCGTAGCTTGCTTCTGTCGGACCGACCGGCGCAGGGAAACAATGAGCATTTATCAAGATTTAACACCGTTTCAATGACACAACTCGGCATTTTCACTCGACGTGAAAGCAGAGCCGTAAAGGGAGCAGCTTCCGGTGTAGCAGAGTGAAGTGTTGCGGGGATGGAGTCGTTTCGGCGGGCAGGACTCAGCGGGGTCCTGTGCTCACTGTCATTGCTGGGTGTCATCCTGGACATCCAGCTGGACGGTAAGGACGGCTTCACATTCACCTGAGCACTATTTTAAATGCTTTATTAAACACAAGTGCAGAGTTCTGTTGCTTCTCTACTTTTATTTTGTCAGTGAAAAGTGTGAGTTACTGTCCAGGTCTGTTTTCTTACCTCGGTGACGCCCTTTTCAGTCTTATAATAAAAAATAAAAACATGTTTGTTACTGTAAAAATACAAAAAAAAGTTTTAAGGTTTCATAAAAATTGAAAAGTAAGAATATTTTTTTGTCTAAGTTTAATTGCTGCAGGGAAAAAAAAACCAAATACAACGCATAATAGTCAACTTCAGGGTCCCTAGACTTTCAAAATAAAGTGCAGAGTAAAACTCATGAGTGGAGTTATTATGTTTTTGTTGTTTTTATAACGCCGTCGTGCATTTCCAAAAAAAAACAAAAACGTATTGTTTATGACGCTCTCCATGGCGACACGCGTCAAAACGTCACACCTGGTGGGTGAAACACCTGGTGACCCTCGTGATGTCACAGACGTGTTGACGTCCAAGTGGAGACTTTCCAACAGGCCTCCGTTGTGTGGCTACATTTTGAAGTTTTAAGATCCTTTCAGGTTGTGCACTCTACAAGCCGAACAGAAGTTGCAGCATTTTGCGGAAATGTATACATTTTTGATTTGATGAAACATTTATTTAAAATTGTGATGAACTTAAACGCACCATTTATGCTTTCATGGTGGTCCTCAGAAAATATTTAGAAACTGAAACAACAGGAAGGAAACATTGTCCTCCGTATAAACCTAGTGAGCAAAGTAAATGATAGGGTTGAGAATGTCTTTAATTTCACACAGAGACAAACACTTGACATACACAACAGCAGGTAATACTGTCAGTGTTGTGTTTGAGGTGTCGCACCTGTTGATGTCATCGCTCTTAACTCTCCTGGTTTTACATTCTCTCAGCCACAGATACGCACGCTGCCAGGAGGAATGTGATTTATAGGTTTGTGCTGCCACTTGCTTCTGCAGACGGACTCCCTCTGTGTGTTCTCAGCTTCGTTGTTTCATGTTGAAAATGAAGTTTCGACGTGATTTGATATTTGTGCCACCCTGTCTTTATCGGTTATGGATTTCCAGCCTGACTCGAGCGGCGTCTTGTGTTTCAGGCGTCTTAGGGGCAACTCATGTCGAGATCGAGCACCACTTGGAGATGGGCCGCAAACTCTTGGCTGCCGGGCAGCTGGCCGAGGCCTTGTCCCACTACCACTCTGCTGTGGGTAAGGTTACTGACACACACACTTATGCTCTCCCCCCCCCTGCTGGCTGACATTTTACAGTCTCTGCTTAAATCGTCACTGTCGTCTGATACAGTCTAAATGTTTTCTTGATGTTTCACAGAGGGAGACTCCAAGAATTACCTGACCTACTACAAGCGAGCTGCTGTGTTTCTGGCGATGGGAAAATCGAAATCCGCCCTGCCAGACCTAACCAGAGCCATCCAGCTCAAACCTGACTTCCTGGCTGTAAGTTTTATTTGACTGTCCTCAAAAGGCTGTTTAGTTTATCTAGAAAAACTGGTCTAAGATCGTCTTGATGTTTCTGGTCCCATCCTATTTTACAACGCCCCTTTAGTTTCTCTTTCTCTTCCTCTTCATCGACATGTTCCTGCTCTTTCAGGCCCGGCTGCAGAGAGGGAATATCCTGTTAAAGCAGGGCAACACACAGGAGGCCATAGACGACTTTGAAGCAGTAGTGAGTTTAAGTCCTAAAGCACACCGTTTTTTTTGTTGTTGTTAGTGTTTGTTTAAATTGTGCCAAATAATGCAAGTTAGCACATCCCCGTGTTTCTGTTTCTGTTTCTAGCTGCTGCGCTCGCCGGACCATGAAGAAGCTCAGGAGCAGGAGATGAAAGCTACCGAGCTGGTGGAGCTGCAGGAGGAGGCACACGCTGCGTACCACCAGGGGGACTACAGCACTACGATCAGCGTGCTGGAGAGAGTCATTGAGGTTTGTGGTGACTTACCTAACGGTTGAAGTCTTTTTCCTGCACACTGTACTGTATGTTGTTTTCCTTTGTTTTTGCCTTAAAACAAATGTTTCTTATGGGGCGCTGGTGGTGCAGTGGTTAGTTAGAGGAGGCTGCGGTCCTCCGAGTGGGCGGCCATGTTTCGAATCCGACCTGTGGCTCCTTTCCCGTCAATCCTCTCTCCCTGATTTCCGACTCTATCCACTGTCCTCTTCTCAAAACCAAAAATAAATCTTAAAAAAAACAAAACAAAATTCTTCTTATTCTTTTTTTAAACATGTTAAAAGGAGAGTTACGTATGTAACTACAGTACTATGAATCCTGGATGACCGCTGTGCTTTAAGCACTGAACGATACCATATCGCACAGGTCGAGTAGCTATACCATCAAAGTCACCCCTGGTGACCCGGACTGGTCTATCTCTTCCGGTGTCTTTAGAGGATCCTGCAGAATCTCCTCCCGAGTGTAGAGGGGACCCCCTGGGTCAGTCATGAGCCAGGGCGTCCCGACCCAGAGGGCTGTTCACCCCTGTGCGAGAGAACCAGAGGGGGCAATCATTTTGCCGCCTTCTTTTATTTTTATTTATCTTTATCTTTTTTAGATCTCCCCCTGGGATCCAGAGTCGCGGGAGCTTCGGGCAGAATGTTTTATCCGAATGGGCGACCCACAGAAAGCCATCCAGGATCTGACGCCGACCACAAGGCTACGCAACGACAACCGTGCCGCCTTCCTGAAGCTCAGCTTGCTGCACTACAGCCTCGGAGAACACCACGAGTCTCTCAAGTGAGCCTCGGATGAAACAAACTACTTTGCTGATTTTCATCTCGTTTACAAAATGTCAACTCTCTGTTCTTCCACTGTTTGTGTGCAGTCACATCAGAGAGTGTCTGAAGCTGGACCAGGACGACAAAGAGTGTTTCAACCACTACAAGCAAGTGAAGAAGCTCAGCAAGCAGCTGGACGCTGCAGAAGAGCTCCTTGACATGGAGAGGTGGGCGTCCTTTTTTCTTTACTAACTCAAAGTTAATTTAAAAACATGCTGCTTTAAAATATTCATCTGTTAAAAAAGAAAATGTCAAACACCTCCTCTCTTCTTTTGAAAGATGGATGTTTTTTCTTTGACTAACTTGTCGGCAGTCTAAAACAAAACAAGAGATAGGAGTAAAAGTTTCTAAAACTCTCCACTAAACTTTCTGAAGAATTAACCTTCCTGCATATTCTCTCACATAAGGTACGAAGAAGCCATTGAAAAATATGAATCAGTAATGAAGACGGAACCCAATGTCCCATTCTACACCAACCTGGCAAAAGAGAAGTTCTGTTTCTGCTTTGTCAAGGTGAAAGTCTTTTTCTTTTCTCAGTTAAAAATGGACAAAAATGATGTGATGTTCGGTAGGGGAAGCCTTTGTCATCCCTATTAACTTGTTATTGGTAGTAGGCCCCGTGTCCACCTAGCATTTATCTCTCGTTGCAGCCGTCTTTTTTCACCTGTTTTCAATGGGTAGCGAGCGTTCGCAGGAGAAGGCGCCGCCCTGGATCTTTTTTTTAAAAAGCGCTCTGCCGTTTTTGATCATATCTTGTTCTCACATCCTCTTTGCTGGGTTAAAAAAAAAAAAAAAACGATCTCAAATATCAAACATGCAGTAAAAAGTAAGGGACCGTGTCCGTTATAGAGCGGCCGTTGTCAACAGACGGTTGTCGTAGAGACAGGACGGACGTGCAAGCGCTTTTCTTCTCATTTGTTTTCATGGCTTCAAACGTCATAACGTCTGCTCCCTCTGTCTCGCTGACTGTAGATCAAATTGGCTCGCGAGGCGATAGACGTGTGTTCGGAGGCTCACCAGAGAGACCCCCGCAACGCAAACATCCTCCGAGATCGAGCCGAGGCGTACATCCTCAACCAGGACTATGAGAAAGGTGAGAGGTTTTCAAAAGAAAAATAAAGGAGGAATTGATTTGCACTTGTAAGAAGCAGGAGCTTTTATTCACAGACAATTACGAACAGATGTATTCAAGGCAGGGTTGGTCATTTATCAAAAGCCAGCTATGATTTAGAAAGTAGCGTTCCCTCAGTGCGCTGTCAACTCCTACTTTTGTTTTCTGCAGCTGTCGAGGACTACCAGGAGGCGCGAGAGTTCGACGGCGACAGCCAAGAAATCCAGAAAGGGCTGGAGCGAGCACAGAAACTTCTGAAAATGTCTCTGAAGAGGGACTACTACAAGATCCTGGGCGTCAGCAGGTAACCAGACCGACCAGCTCTGCTAACACACTGTTCATTCTTAATGACTTCTTCGAACGCCAAGCCCGACCACTCAAGAAGTCTTTATCAAGCAGACGCATCCGACGCTGACTCTCTTGTTCTTCTCAGGAATGCAAATAAGCAGGAGATCATAAAGGCGTACAGAAAGCTGGCACAGCAGTGGCACCCGGACAACTTCCAGTCCGAGACGGAGAAGAAAGAAGCAGAGAAGAAGTTCATCGACATTGCATCGGCTAAAGAAGTCCTCACTGACCCAGGTCAGAAACTCACAGCACGATTACATTCTTCTTGTTGTTGTTGTTGCGTTACATTTGAAACAAAGACTGTAAATGTTAATAGTTTGAACCCTGAATGATATCACCCAGCTGGTTGGTTTATGACTTAATAATAATCATAATGAACGCCCGTAATCAGCTGATCAGCAGAGCAGGGAGACAGAGGAAGTAGTAGGGGGAGTGGTTTAGGTTGAATGAATGTGTGAAAGAATATAACAAGTCTTCCTGCTTGAACTTGCGCTGAGCTCCATATCGAACCAAAAAGGATGAGTTGTAAAAAAAAAAAAAGATTCACCTCCCGTACCAGCGTGCTGATCGAGACATCAGCTAATCAGACCAGGCTTCCAATTTTTCAAAACTGGAGGTCGCCGCTTGAATTGAACCGGTGGAGGAAACTGCTCACCTGCCTCTGTTATCGAAATCAATTCACCTGGCGTAGCATTTTAATTCTTACATTTCTACAAAAACCTGTTGTTGTGTTTTCACTGATTATGCGAGTTAGCACAAATGATCAGGGCAGATATTAGAGACGTGGAGTCTGTGCTTTGCGATATCAAATCAACTTCCTGTATACATTTAACGAGGTTATTTTCTTCAGCATCCACAGTGAAAATGGTCTACGTATTCCAACTAAGAAATTCAATACCTTCACCACCTTATCACCACATTGCAGTAAAAGTCCCACATCAGTCAGGCTCTGAGAAAAAAAAAACTTTGCTTCCATAAGGCTGAAAAGGTCGAAAATGAGAGCCCAATTTTCAATGTGCTGCAGCTTCATTTTTGCTCCTCCTTTTCTTGCCGTCGTCTCCACAGAAATGAGGCAGAAGTTCGATGCCGGCGATGATCCTCTGGACCCAGAGAACCAGCAGGGCGGCGGAGGAGGAGGAGGACAGGGCTGGCCTTTCCATTTCGACCCCTTCCAGTCCGGTGGCAGCTTCCACTTCAAGTTCCAGCATAACTAGAGAGAGAGAGAGACAAAGAACCTCCAGAACTGAAGTAGAGGGGGATTCATGGAGACGTCTTCCTCTGAAGCTCTTCTTTGGCTTTGACACATTTGTTACTTGAACATTTGATTTGTAGTGCAGTAGAGGCTTGACCTGGGGGAGAAAAAAAAAAGGGACTTCTTTTGATAGAAATAACAAAAAAACGAAGGACCTAACTGCTGAAGGAAGAAAATGAAGTCTTGTGTCAACACGTCAGAGCCTGAAGACGGACAGTTTGTTGGGTTAAAATGTCAATGTGGGACATTTGGGTTGTCTGCTCTAATTTCTTTATATGTGCCATTCTTTTTTTTTTTTTTCTCCAAAGGACTTCTCTTCCTTTTATAATGCAGTCGCTCATGCTTGGACGTCACACGGGAGGACTGTCTGTGTGGTCGGTTTCTGCTCGCAGTATTCTTCAAAAAGGAATTACACGTCTTTTCATTTTGACCCACGTCAAACCCTCTCTGCATTCAGAGAGCCAAGGTTTTTTTTTTTTTTTATACACAGCCACAGCTTTGTTGAGCTTCTGCAGTAACGTTAAGTAGGTGAGACTTCAGGTTTGAAACATTTTGAAATCCTATGGATCTTAAATAATAATAATGAATCGTGTGTGAATGCTGTGTCATTGTATCTTCAACAGGCTATTCATGCAGCTCCAAACTTTACTGATCTCATTACTAATTTAACACAAACGCGGTCTGAACCGAAAAAAAAAGGTGAGCAAAATGAAGACTGCACAAGAAACGATTTCATTTTCTTTTTTCAAAGCGCGTCTTTGAAAACTTGCACTTTTACTTTTTTTTTTGTTTACTTGAAGAGCCACTCCACATGTTCTCCACTCCTGAAATGTTACTGCAGCCCTCCAAAGACTCTTTGACAAAGTGTGTCTTTGAAACACGGGGAGCACAAAGGCTCCATCTGAAACCTTTAAAGGCAGGGTTGGTCATTTTCAAAAATTTGCATGATTTTGAAAGTAGCATTCCCTCAGTGCTACGTCTGCACCCACCCCCCCCCCCCCTCCCCCTCCCCTCTGTGCTCCCTCAAAAGCCACGCCCCTCACTTCCATGCACAAGCGCCATTGGTCCAGAAGCGGAGCTCAGCTCATGCTTTGAGTGTTAGGCTCGTGCATGCAACGTGTGGAGAACGAGCAGGGAGACAGGGAGGCGTCTGATTGGTTCTTCAGATTGGTACCTCGTTGGCAAACATTGGTCAAAGTGTTGACAGGTTTCAAACTGCTTACAGATGACGGATTTTCTTCGTTTCTTTTTCCGAGCACAAGTTATTAATTTCTGTCAGGAACTAAAGACAATTTCAACTAAAATGTGAAAAAAGATGAACCCTGCCTTTAAGTTCGAGGGGAAAGTAAAACTTTGTACACGAGGACAAGTTAGGCACACAACTGTTTACCTACAAACAACATTGGACATCTCCAGCACAAACTTAAGTTATTTTATTGATAAAATGAGAAACTGCTCGACTGTGTGAACCAAATGTGACCGGCTCTTTGTATTTAAATGATTTGAGTGGATCTTTTCTTTTCCGTTTTTTTTTTTTTTTCTTTTTTTGGGTTTTCTTCTGTTTGTGGCTTCAATTTTACTGTTGCCAAACCGAATCAGCCGATATGCTAAAGCATATTAAAATATTGACACAATCCAAGTTTGTTCTGTCCTCTTGATGTACTGCTCTCTATCGTATCGAGACCATCTCTCCACCCCGGTACATTACATCGTCAGAGTCAGTGGATATTACTTTGTAGACACTCCAGCTCGCCCGGTCACGCCCCACAGCTCCTCTATAAAGCACCTGTGCTGGCGTGCAATCACTGATAGTTTGATCAGAACCTGTCACTGAGCGGCCTAGCGGCTGGAGAGATAGTCCTTTCACTCAGACAACCCGAATTACAATGTAACCTTACGACACCGTACCTACATTTTCAGACTCCCACATTACCCATAATACACCTTTGGATAAGATTACAGGTCAAAGGCTCTGGTTTGTCATGTAGCAGTGACATCACTTCAAGAAAAGTATCCTAACGGCTCGTTAATCCTTCTCATACACTGTTGGGTCTTTGTCAAAAATACAACACGCTACAGATAACATTTGAGAATTTGCGTTATACAGATAAAGCCTGATGTTTTAAAATTGATGGAGCTCATGCTCAATAAACATGTAAAGAACATTAATACTCCTGTGATACCAGAGTGAAAAAATGAGTCAAAATTCAAGCAGTCGTTGCTGTCAAGTTTTCTTTTCTTCCCAAAAGCAGTTCAAAAGAAAGTCTCAATACAATTGTCTGACTGGAAACATCATGGTACAAAGACAGGAACTGTACATCACTGAAACATTCTCACACACACACACACACATCCATGTAGGTGCTGTTTGCTCCAACCTCTCACACACCGTGCACTGGGCAGACGTCGTTTTGTTACAGCACAGAGGGAGAGGCTGAATCCAGAAGAGTTCTGTATCTGTGTTTTATGACAAGAATCTTGCAGTGCAATAGTCCACTCCCTTTACGCTCACTCTCAGCTGTGTCGCCGGGAAACAGTCACGCTGTTACGTACAGGTGCTCCAACCTCTCACACACCGTGCACTGGGCAGACGTCGTTTTGTTACAGCACAGAGGGAGAGGCTGAATCCAGAAGAGTTCTGTATCTGTGTTTTATGACAAGAATCTTGCAGTGCAATAGTCCACTCCCTTTACGCTCACTCTCAGCTGTGTCGCCGGGAAACAGTCACGCTGTTACGTACAGGTGTTTCATCAACAGTCTGCTCAAAAGCCTTGCGTGTCCTCCAAACTGTCTGCTTCCACCTCGATGGACACTACGTGGTGACCGGGGATCATTGCCAGTCCCAGGACTCTCGGTTCACCCTGGGAGAATGTGTCTGTGGACATAAAAAAAAAAATAATAATCACCTCATTAAGTATTCAGATGACATGGAGGTTGTTGTTGCAAGTAACAAAGCAGACAATACGCATGTTCCAGTTTCACAAACACTCGTCTCAAGAGGAGACAAGAAAAGTGAAGAAGTTTGGAAAAGATGCCGAATGGAGTAACTTTTGATTTTAAAAGCTTAAGTTGTAATAAGTACACCAAGAGACTACTTCATTTGAATTTTAGATTTCATTTTAAAAATAGCCCAACATACCAACCAGGAGTGCTACAAACCATCGGATGCATCTATATCGCATGCCGAAAGGAAATGTTAAAATGTTGACCTGGCCAGTGTATTAGGCTGTTTCTAATTTGTATATTTAAAAAAAAAAAACTTATTTACAAAAATAAAACATGCAGTATTGATGTTATACAGTGGACAAAAAGGTAGTTAAATATATATATACTAAAAGGTATTAGAGCCTCAAAGTTGTAGCATTTTCTAATTGTTTGGCATCCTTTAGTCTTGACCCACCTGTAGATTTAAGAAATTCCTGTGCAGATCCTAGGATGACGTTGCAGTCTCTGTCTGTGCAGAGGAAAAGCCCGACCAGAGTGCGTCCATCCGTCATGCGGATCCTCATGTTCTTGTTTAGGAGCCCATCCAGTTTCAGCCGAGCCTGGGACGACGAGGACACTCCAGACTGCTCCTTAGCGTAGACAGGAGGGTAACAGAATCCAGGGCCAATAAAGAAAGAAATAGCAGAACAATCGAGACACGTCATCAATTAAAATGATGAGACAACACACAAACAAGTTACCTAGCGCCAAAGAGGTAATTAAAGACATTTTAGAACTCATGACTTTAATTCAATGAGAATTAGAATCAGGCATGTTTACAAGGAATTTCACTCTGATAAAAAAAAAAAAACCCCACAAACAAACAAACAAACAAAAAAACAAACACTTGGATTGTTAACAGAAAACAGAGACGTGACAATAGAGCAAAAGTCCTGAACAGTAAAGCAGCAACACTCCTTTTGTCCACACGAAGAATAAGTCAAGAAGTGTAGTTTACGGTTGCTCATCGGTGGATGAAACAAAACTAGATCACCTTCCTCTGGACTTCAGGAAAAAAAACTAATCGTACAGAACAGAGACAACAAAACAGGTGTCTTGATTACATTGTCCATGTCTCTGCATCACTGTGGTGCAACACTGCCTCTCTGCTCTTTACACAGCTTATCATACCAAGTCACTTTAATCACTTTATCTTGTCATCCTCTGCAAATACTGTCTCAAGTCTCAATTCCTCTCCAGTTAACTCCATCATTCATTTTGTACTGTATATATACCCCCTGTTTTTATTTTTATTTATCTCATCTATTCTGTTTAATGTGTAATTTTTGAGCTTTCTTGTCTGTGCTATCCTATTATCCTGTGTGCATACTTCATATGTAGGCTACCACTGTCTGCAGCTGGGTAGGGGAAAAAAATAAACATGTAGCAAAGGAAACATTGAAACTAAAACAAGATGTAACCATATTAAACAAAAAGAGGTCACTCTTAATCACTGTAGAAAGGCGTGTTTTTAATCTGAATTAAGTCTTTTTAGAGTTAATCTAAACGTTTTTACAGCAGTATTTATTGTCCCAATATATTAATATTTAAGTATTGGAAAAAGGTACATTATATGTTTAATTAGTCAACCTAATAAATCACTTGTTTCAGAGTATTCGTTAGCTACAGGCTAAAGACAACATCATGTTAGAATAATTGTTTGTATATTAATACGACGAAGCAGTTGCTCCATAATACGGCACGCCTAAATAACATGTAAACCCATACAAAGATTAACAATAAGATATAAAGTGCACATACATGAGTAGAAGGACCGTTTTCCTCAATCATTGATGCCATTTCTACGTCTTCTTCTCCAACGTTTGCTTACGGAGCAATTTGACTGACGGACCAGAAACACCGGAAACACACTGCAACACTTTTTAAAGGTGTATTAGATGTCACCGTGGTGATTTTGATACGGGTCCACTGATCCAATTATCAGGTTAAGCATGACAATTTAAAATTATGGAAGCAATTGAATAAGGGATGGATTAAAAATGAAAGAAGAGATATAAATGAAGGGAAATTAAAGTTCGTTTATGAAGAATTATTTCATTATTTTCATAAAAGTTGTTTCAGCCTGCTGAAAACTGTATTTTATAGAAGGTAGGACATCATAGATCTCAAGAAATAGCCGAAAAGGTGTGTTTGTGTTTGTGCCCCTCAAGATTGATGCTTTTTTATTTCTTATCAATTAATCAAAATGGATAGATTGTGTAATTTCATCTTTGGAAAAGTGGATTAATGTAAACACTATAAAAGAAAACACACAACTAAAGTTCCTTTTGCGTCATAAACATGATTTGGTTGTGTTACCCAACAAGGTGGGTTTAAATCTAAACTTGATCAGAAAGTTTACATTGCTCATATATTCTAGTTTTTGTGTCTCCTATGTTGTCATTTTGATTCAAACTGAATTGACACCGCATGATTTGTATGTTACTCTTTTAGTAAAAGTCAAACCACGTCCAGGGACGGAGTGGTTTAAGTCTTTCACATCGTTATTTTAGGGGTTGCGGGTTGAAGAGTTTGGGAACCCCCATGGTTTGACGACTCATACCTTTGTGTGTTCTTTTTGGAGTAAAACATATACTTTCATTGTCATGCTGTAGATTCCAGACACCATGATTTGTATGTTACTCTTTTAGCAAGAGACAAAAAAAACGATATCGTCCCTGGGTGGGCTCGAACCACCAACCTTTCGGTTAACAGCCGAACGCGCTATCCGATTGCGCCACAGAGACGGTGATAATTTACACTGAGTGTTGTTACAATTTTAACATGAACTTTGGAAGACACGTCATTCAAGGTTTTTTTTCTTTATTTATTTCAGCATTCATAGGCAATCAAAAATAATCAAAGAATAATTACAAACGAAAATGCAATTGTATCAAAGGCCTGCATTTCAATTGTAGCCTATAACTTAAAAGTAATTTTTGTAAAACCATCACAACATTTTACTTCATAGCAAGCTTAACAGATAGATAAGGACAATAAACCAATCGCCCTACAATCATATTCCTTTAGCCCAGAATAGTCAACTCACATTTAGAGTTGTCACATCTGCATAAGGCTTCTCTTAGCCTATACTTGTCATGCTGAGCCCATCTGTTTTCTCCATGTTTTCTCCATGGATGGATCTGTATCTTTGTAGTAGGCTATTTCATAAGGTTAAGGTATGTAGTGTGTTATATTTCGGTGTTAGGGTTATTGTTTATGGTATCATTCATTGTAGGATTAGGAGTAGGGGGATAGCGGGTCACATATGGGCAGAGTTGTTAACTGAACTCAAACATGCACTGACGCTTCCACCCTCATCACACACAGTCCATGCATTGCAGTCCTATTCCTCTCCTTGTATGTATTACTTTTTCTACCTGTACTATCCATACACTTTCTACATGAACATGCATATAGTTATTCTCTTTTGACCGTACAAATCATGTTTTTCCAATGAAGATCACATGTTTCTTACCCTTACAATATTTACATTTCTGCAATACATATTGATATTATTTACTTGTTGTACAATTGAATAATGACAATAATGGTTTTCTATTTCAATTACACCCTTTAAATGGGCTCATATAAGAATAATTCAGTAGTGCTGAAGTGCTGTTGCCCTGAAGACAAATCAGAAAACAGAACAACAAAAATATAAAACATTTTTGTATGTTTTGTAATTTGTCATTGTGTTTTTTTTTTATTTGCTGTTGTGTTTTATTATTCAAAGTAGTATTTTTGCACTTCGGGGGCCACTCTAAAGTATATGTTTATGTTTACCTTTTTTTGTGATGTGTAAAGCTAACTTGGAACTTTGGATCTCCTGCTGCAGGTAAAATGATTTCAGCCTCATCTTCTCTCTAGGCTGTCTGGGATTCAGTCAGCTCGGCTCTGAATGCAACACAGGCGACAGTGTCTCCTCTCTATGTCACACTGTATAAAATCTGGGTTAGCTGGAGCGCAGCACCCAGGGGAGGCGCTTTTCCCTCTCATCCTCTCATGTCTCCATGCCAAACGGACACACTGAGGGGGTGTGAGTAAAGGGGGGGGGGGGGGGGGTAGTCACAGTAGTGCAGTGTGTCAGGCCTGAGGCGTACAAGACAGAGTCCTGGCTAAGTGAACCGCTGCTTTTCTTTTCTTTTTTTTTAAAGTCATAAATACAGACATATCATACACATGGAGCTGGCCAGACACACATTTCCTCACACGCTCTCTTGGCCGATGTGTTGCTCTTGCAACAGGTGCCAAAGAATTCCTCTCCACTTGTTTGATGGCACCAGGGCATCAGACACCTGTTGCAGCAGAGGGGGAAATATCATTGGAATTCTTGTTTACAAAAGATCCAGGTATTGATTTAAAAGCTTCCGCTGACGTGACAGAGAATCAATCATCTGAAAAAGGGGTAACATCCAAACCCTTTAACCCCATGCCTGACATGCCTTTTTTTTTTTTTTTTTAAATAAACACCTTTAAACTCGAAGGTGATCGATTGTTAGTACTATATTTCATTTATATGAAAGAACCCTCCCTCCTTAGATTACTACAAATAAGCTTTACAGAAGCCAAATATATCATTTTAGATTTGTGGTTGAAATAGATTTAGTTGAAAAGTATTTTTTTGTTTCATTCTTAGTTTAAAACAAAAAAGTGCCAGGCTTCAATATAGTGTATAAACATGCAGACAAATATTTAAAATTCAGACACTGAACTTTTGAAAGCACTTGCTTTTCTTTTAACTTAGTGGTTCCCAAAGTGGGGTCGGGACCCCCCTGGGGAACGCAAGACACTGGGAGGGGTGTTGCAAGAAATTAGAAATTAGGCGACTTAAAATTGCATTTTACTCATTGTTGTGAAATAGTCCTGTAATGAAAGTAAAGCATTCGACTGTAAAAATATTTCTTCTTATTTTGTTGAATTATTTTAAAGCCCTGTTGTGTTCTAGTGTTGTTCTAATGTCAGTGTTTGGATAGACAACGTTGAAAGTTTTAACCACGTCCAGGGACGGAGTGGTTAAAGTCTTTCACATCGTTATTTTAGGGGTTGCGGGTTGAAGAGTTTGGGAACCCCCATGGTTTGACGACTCATACCTTTGTGTGTTCTTTTTGGAGTAAAACATATACTTTCATTGTCATGCTGTAGATTCCAGACACCATGATTTGTATATTACTCTTTTAGAAAGAGACAAAAAAAAATACATATCGTCCCTGGGTGGGCTCGAACCACCAACCTTTCGGTTAACAGCCGAACGCGCTATCCGATTGCGCCACAGAGACGGTGATATCACACTGAAGGCGTGGTTACAGTTTTAACCCCCACCCACTTTTAATGGCTTTTTAGGTGGACTGAGTAAATGCGCTCTCTGTGCAGCAGTGTGTAGCAGCCCCTCTCTGACATCTCTCCACTGGTGTCCACAGGTCCTGTTTGTGCATGTGTGTGATTTGGACCCCTCTGTGTGTGAGAAGCATGTCTCTCAATAACACAGTGTAAAACCAGAATGTCACTCAGGGATTAATAAAATATTTCAAAATCCAAAACTCCTCCAACTTGTGATCGAGACATATTTATTATTTAACAGGTAATTAACCCATTGAGATCAAGATTTCGTTCATCAAGGGTGACCTGGCCAAGAGGGCAGCAGCACTTCATAATAAACATTACATGATCAACACTGCAGGCAGGGCCTTTCTCAGCTTCCATAGAAAACCAGCTACAACTATCATTTAAAAAGAAATCAAACATCTTCAGTTCTTTTTTGTGTTTAATGGACTGAATTAGTTCATCGAATCTTTGTAACGACTTCAGCCAAAACTGTTAGCACAGCAGAGCTATGTTTGAGGAGGCAGGGACAAGAACCTGCACAGACATTTTGAATTTAAGTAAGAAAATGTGTTGTCACAGTGTTGTGAATAAAATGAACAACTGCTTTTTCTTTTCAAGTAAATCATGGCATTGAACTAGCACCAATATTTCTTCTTTGAAAGCTGTGCAGGTCCTAATGACATGTCCAATCCGCACCAGTGAAAAACACCTGTTAACCTCTGCAGACTATACACCACTTTTTTAGCCTTTTGGTTAAAAACAGCTTCAAACTTTTGATTTTCCTCTCAGTGCTGCTTAAAGCTCATGAGGTTGCTGCTATGTTAGGCCTAGGCCTGTATGTTTTTTTTTACTTGGCAGGGTCAAGTGTAACTTTTCAGCTCTATCGCAAAAATGATTTAAGACTTGAAGGTTTGTTTTTGTCCATATGGAAGCGATTCAAAGGGTTAACACACTTTAAGTCATAGTGTGAATTAAGAATACTACATTTTTTTAATGAGTCATTTTCATGTTGCCGTCTGACTCATAATATTGCATTTTTTTTAAAATTTTGGTAAATGATAATTCAATGAATTTACTTTTATCTGAGCATCAATGATCGTGATTTTCTGTGGATGTGTGTGGATCCAAATGTGGATCCTTTTTCATACTTTATCTTTATCCGTGCAACTTTCTCCAGTTTGACCCTTATTTCAGCTTTGAATGTGAGCTGCAAATCTAAATTCTTTTTTTTTTTTTTTTTTGTCAAAACAGAAAAGTGGCCCAGAGCAGCCACTGAGGGCTGGGATGGGATCTCAGAACTCCCTTGCCATCCTCTCAGCCTTCTGATTTTACAGTAAGTGTGCAGAAAAAAAAAATGCTAGTGCTTGCTTTTAAAAATCTCAGTCACAGAGATGAAGTGTGTACTTTGAGCTGTTTGAAGTGCTGCTTTTAAAAGAGGGGGGGGGTGTAGTTTTGCTTATTCTGAATTGTTTTCATCCCCACCACAAGTAGTTAATTTTTAAGCAATACAATCTGATGTAAGTCTGGGCATGGCTGCGGCAGATTTTCCCAACCCCCCTCTCTCAATCCCTCCCCAGCACTCACACACACCCGCAGAAACACACACACACACACACACACACACACGCGCGCACACACACACACACACACACACACACACACACACACACACACACACACACACACACAGCCCCGCTGCTACAAAATACTTTTTTAATACAACGGTGGGGGCTCCCGAGAATCTAAGGTGGCCATATTTGATAGATTTGTGTCGGGCTCTGCAATGCAGAAAGCGAGAGTTTGTGGCGTGTGATCTAAGTGACAGTGACACCGGGCAAGTCTTGTCGGATTCGTGACTGATCCGGATTTTGATAGAGAGGGAGGGAGGACGGGGGGGGACACACAGAAAAGAAACAAACAAGTAACAGTGTAACTTACATGCAGCCACACACCCCTTTTTCTTGTAACAATGTGTACGTTTTAAGGAGGGAGGGGGCGCGCAGAGGGAGAAAGAGAGACGGGGAGAGATAGGGAAAGGAGGAGGGGGGTGCGCTCTGAAATAATATAGTCAGCCATTTTTTATGTAAGGGGATTTTTTTTCTTATTGGGGGGGTTGTTAAAAAATAAATATAAGAGGGCGGCCATCTTTGTAGCTCTGCCTAGTGTAAAATATTTCAAAACGCCCCCCACTTTTTTTTTTCCCTGTGCCGATTTGAATATTAAATAAATATCACACATTCGAGCTAGAATCCGCTTCTTTTTTTTTTTTTGCATACAAGGACGGGAGCCAAATGACAGGAATATAATGTCCTCTCCTCTCCGGTCTTGTGAGGAAGACGAGGGCATGGTGGTTAATTCCGAGGGAGGAGATTTTGATGAAGAAGACGACGACGGAGACGGAGACGGGAACGCAAGCGACATAAACTCGCCGGCGGCGCCTCGGGAAACTGCAACAGCGGCAGCCGCGCCAGGTACAGTAAAGAAAAGCTGGCGGACAGGTCGGGAGCGCGCACACGGGGGGATAAAAAACACTGAAAACGTGCAGAAAATGGCTTTTTAGAAGTAGCCGCAGTTTGAGCCCCGCGTCTGCTGCTTCTCCACTTCCAGTGTGGTACAGTAAAAACCCAGCGAGGAGTCGGGGCTTGCCTGCGTACAAATTACACTTGGTAGTGGAGATTTTTTTAAAAACACAGGCAAATGTTTTATCCAAAAAAAAAAACCCGCTACATGTCACCGTTATCGCGCCTGTTCATTTTGCTGTAGGTGTCATGGGTTAAAGCTAGCTGCAAAAACACTTTACAATAAACTGCAAAAAAAAATAAAAAATACACAACTGGCTAAAATGTAGCGCTTCTTCTGTGTTGTTGTTGTTAAGGGGGGGGGGCTCATTTTCTCCTGCTCCACTTCCTCTTTCACCTCCTACACATCCCAACAAAGTTTACACCAACTTGCCACCGCTTCCCTTTTTTTTTTTTTTTTTTTTTTTTGTTTCCCATCATCCAAAAAAAAAAAAAGTTGTCCCTTTTTTTTTTTTTGACAGCTCCCCCCAGTCATGTCACGGCATGTAAACGTGCTCGGTGTGCGGGTAATGAGGTCGCCATGAAGGGTATAGGCATAAACATGGACTCCGCTTGGCTGGAGGCTACATGTATTTGATACATATCATGGGCAGGAGGTGATGCGTTTCTCTGCTCAGACATGAAAGCTGGTGTGAAATTGCGGTGAGACAGAAACTTGCCCCCTCGCTACCCTCATTGTCTCCATGACAGGTCAAAATAGGACACTGCTGCTGCTGCTGCATGCTGCTCACTTTTCAGGCTGGGAAGAGAGGGGGGGGTGGGGGGGAACATTTTGCTCCCTTTTAGCTTAGCGTTTTCATGAGCTCAAGTAGGCTACCATTCTTATGCGCAATTCATCTACTTTATCTCACTCAATGGGACTGTTATTACTGCTGCAGGAGTAGCTTCTGTCTGTAGCATTGATATTGTCAAAAGGTGATCGACTGGATGTGATTTGGGAAGTTTTGCTGTGACAGTGTCAGTGAAGGGTGCAGAAAGTAAAGGGATGGTTAACCACACGCAATGATTCAAGTAAAAAAAAAAAAAAAAAACAACTACAGCTGCCTTTTGTACATAATAACTTGAACCAATGTGGTTTGGATGCAACGCTGAGGTAGCATTCAGACTTAATTTGAAAGCCACATTGTGTGTGTAATTAGGGAGATAATATAAGATAATTATAAGCAAACGATTGGCTACGCAAGTGTGATTTTCTATATGAATGATACAGAGGAATCATCCATTGTCTGTAGGCTTTAGTAAGCTCCACTCCGGACCTGCCGCCATGCCAGTGCCAGACTGATACATTACAGTCGTGTTTAATACAGAGGAGGACCTTTATAATTAACCCCATGACGACCTCCTGTGGTTGACGGTGTCCCCACTGTGGGACTGACACAGTGTGTGTGTGTGTGGGGGGGAAAGTGGTTTCAGTTCAGCGCAGTGCACCGAGTGACGGCCTCTGAATCACCGAGCCCTGCGTGCGTGCCGCTGCCGCCCCCGGCGCGTCTTCGTCGGCAACGGGCTGCACCGATACGGGGTTTATTTTACTGAACGGGAGGGGGAGGGGGGGGGGGGCTTCTGTTGCTGGTGGGTTAGCGCTAAACAACAAAGGCAGGCAGACAATAAAGTAAGAGAAAATGCAGCCTAGCTTACAGGCTGGTTGGTTTCACGGTGGAAACCGCAGCCCATATTTCAGTTCTACTTTAATGCTCTGCTGCAGCTTGTACAGTGAAGCAGAGGCTGTGTCTCTTTAATTCTCCAAAAGCCAGGTCAGGTAACAGGTTAAATTGTTTTCCTTGTGGTTGTGATATTGCACAGGCACCATTGGGGATAACCGGCCAGATATTTTCGCCCTACAAGCAGAGATGAAGTGATTTATTCTTGACAAACTGAGCTGGAGAGTTTACCATGACATAAGATATGGGTAGAGGCTTAACACATGATATACATATTTCTTATATTTAATTTCTTCCTTCATCAGAAGTTTTGAAAATGCAACTGTAGGTTTTTTTCATTTTTCATTTACACATCAGGATTAAGGATTATGTTTTTGAGTAAAAGAAACACATCAGACAACATTGCCATTGTCACACGTTTAACAACCATAAACCAATTATCTCCATTCTATGGAAAACCAGCTGTCACACATACTCTGACAAGCTGTGTCTAATGTAGCTTGTGTCACAGTTCAGGAGAGGTCAGAGCCACCGTGGCTATCATGCAGCTTTTGTTGGGTAATTATCCTACAAAGGGGATTAGCAAGGGTGTTGGGAAGCATTTGAGAAGATTATCACTCATCTGATCTTTCTTTCATGATTTCTTCGTCCCCCTGTCTCTTCTGTTTTTTCTTCCTTCCAGAGGAAGAACCAGAGATATCAGACAGAGAGGTCCCAATCCGGAAGAAAGGGCGACCGAAGAAGAAGAAGGACACAAAGAAGAAAGACAAAGAAGGGAAACCAGTGAAAGCAAAAAAACGCAAGAAGATTGTAAGTAAGATTCCTTGGATTATTTGGCATGTAAGCATCTTCATTACTTCAAGTGATCTCTCCCTCTTGTCACATCTCCAGGACAGCGATGTAGAGAAAGACTCAGACAGAGAAAGGGACTACGGTGAGAACTCGGACAGCGTAGCGAGCGACTATGGCTCCGGAGAGAAAAAGAAGAAGAAGAAACATAAAGAAAGGAAAGAGAAGAAAACCAAGAAGAAGAAGAAAGACGATGGGGACAGAGACAGCAGTCAGGAGGAGACAACGAAGGTAAAAGCACCTAAGTCATCTTCAATAAGTTCAATGTAGTTTCATCTGTTGTCTTCCTGCTCGGACTGATGTGGTTTTTTTCCCCCCGCAGCAACCAACAGAGCAGAAGACCTCAGCTCAGCTGGCAAAGGAGTGGGGTCTAGAGGATGTTGACCATACCTTCACAGAGGAGGACTACAGGGAACTCACCAACTACAAAGCCTTCAGTCAGTTCATGAGGTACAGATGCTGCAAACTGTCCCTACGTACACGGTTTGAATTACGTTTGTTGCAAGGGTTATGGGCACTTTGATAGAATTTGAGCCATGTCTTATTCGATCTAACTTTCAGAAACCATCAAAAGTAGGACGTTATTTTATAAATTTTTACTTTCAAAACAGCTAACTTGGGCTTTATTCTACTTTCAAAGTAGCAGAATGTGCTGTTAAAACCTGACATACTAGCACACAAGTGTTATTTCACAGTTTCTATTAATGTTTTCGCAGTAACATGCCGATTGGTGGCTGGCCACGTATTAGCCTGTCAGAGTTACATCAGTATGACCATGCGTGCATTTTTTTGGGTACATTTTACTGTTTTTTTTTTTTTTTTTTTCATGTTCTGGTTATAATGCAATAAATCATTTTTTAATAACATATAATTGCACAAAAAAATGATTGCAGTGATTAAGAATTAATTAATATTCTCAGTTTAAAATTGTTGCACAATCTACAAGGGGTGGGAATCACCAAGACCCTCGACTCACTGCTATTATATACTTTAGTTAAAAATTGGCTTTATTGTGATTTTAGAAAAAGAGGTAGTTACACGCACATCAGGTAGGTGCAGGGCAGTGCAAAAAGCAAAACTGAGAAAGAAGATAGTGCCGCTCAATTCTTTATTGGGATTTTAAACATTTTGTGGTATGATGGGTATTGGGTTAATATTTAATGTAATTTGATTGGCATTCATGAACACGGCATTTGAACAAGGCAACTTGTATAACCAGTATATTGAGTTTCTTCATCATCTGGGATCATTCAAAAGTTAAAGGGGACATATTATAAAAAATCCACTTCTACAATGTTTTTGATCATATATTTGTGTAACCTGAGTTTCTACCGACCTACACAATGTGAAATAAACCCATCCAGTCCTTTGTTTGTGGTCTGTATAAGTCTTACAACACAGAGAAAATGCTCTTTTTCAAATTTGCTCTCCTTGTGATGTCACAGTGGGATTCTGGTAAAAAAAAATCCCCTCCCCTCCCCTGCACCATGGGAGGGGAGGGGAGGGGAGATACCATGGGTGGTATCTCCACCCATGGACTCCATCCCCAGACTAGTACAAAACTTTTGCTCAGGTCGGCCATTTTTATTCTCGCTACAGAGCAGTGATGTCTACGGGGAAAACTAAGGGCGGGGGCTCATTACATTTAAAGAGACACACACCAAAACGGAGCGTTCTGAGAGAGCTGGTTTACACAGGGTCACAAACCTCCTCTGGTGCTTCATTCATGTTATATTTTGACCAAAGCACAGCACAGATGTTTCATTTAGACCACAGGGGACTGTTTGAAAAGGTGGAAATGCGGTATAATATGTCCTCTTTAACTGATATCAATTGTAATGAAAGCACAAATTTGATCAAGTTGCAATAATGGAAATGTTTATTTTCAATTATATTTTCAATATTAAATGAATAATGAATAATTGCACGCTTGATATACTATATCATTTGGAAAGACAATCCAAAAGGGCAATTTTCTTTCCAGTTCATAAATCTCCATTACATCCACTCCCTATTGGTTATCACTATTTTCCCTCTAAGATCTGTATCAGTCTAGAAAGTCATATCTGTCAGGCTCTTGTTTCGAGATTGACCAGCCTCCCTCTATACTTGCAGAACCATTCAACAACATCTTTCCCTGCCTACAGATACACGTGTCTCATACCTGATCTGACTCTGATAACATTAGGTAAACCATAATGTCTGCTGCATGTTGATGTCAGGAAGTAATTGTCCGTTTCTGCTCCGCTGGCAGACAGAGCTTTCCTAATAAACTCTTCTAAACCATGCTGCAGATGATAAACAAACGTAGCCTTTAACCACAGCATATGAATCTAATTTAAATATCTGCCAAAATCAAATGGAAAAAGAGCTAGATTGCTTAGTTTTGCCTGGATGTTTTTGTCTCTCTAAAACATTTGAACAATCCTTACTTTGTCGTCCCATAGGCCAATGATAGCCAAGAAGAACCCCAAAATCCCCATGTCCAAGATGATGACCATCCTGGGGGCCAAGTGGAGGGAGTTCAGCTCCAACAACCCCTTCAAAGGCAACGCCGCTGCGGTCGCTGCCGCCGCCGCCGCCGCTGCTATCGCTGTCGCTGAGCAGGTCTCTGCGGCGACGGCCTCGCCTGAGCCACCTCCACAGCTACCGCCACCGCCAATCAGAAAGGCAAAGACAAAAGAGGGAAAAGGTCAGCTGCCATCTTTAACCTTCCTTTTCCCTGTGCCACTTATAAAGTAGCTTACAATGAAAACTGTCCCCGGACCAGGAAGTTTGGCATCATTAAGGCACATACAGAAAAAACAATCATCTGTACAGATTCTGATGGTTTGTGAACAGCTTTTGGTTGTTGTTTACAAGCTCATTTACTAACTGCAACCCAAAATTCTTTAAAGTTGTGACTTTTTGTTTATGAAAATGAAAAAGACAACGTCATAATTTGAAAGTTTTTTCATTCATTTGAAAATGATCTGCCCCACCTTAAATGTGATACCAGCAACACCTTTGAAAGAAGTTTGGACAACAACAATAGACACTTTCTATTAAAGGTGGCATGTTTTGCCTTTCTTGCTTAATGTAGGATTTCAGCAATTCACAGGTACAGGGTCTCCTTTGTCTTATTTTACACTTCCTAATGCTCCAAACATTTTCAATGGGTGACAAGTTTGGGCTGCAGGAAGGTCGGTTTATCACCTGGACTCTTTTACCACAGAGCTCTTGTCTTGCAAGGCCTTTCCTGAAAATGTAGTTGCCTATTTGGCAGGATATGTTGTCTCCAAAACCTGTATTTATGGTTCAGCATAAATGGTGCCCTCACAATGTTAAGGTCACCCATGCCATGTGCACTAATGCATCCCCAGTATCATCAAGGATGCTGGCTTTTGAACTGTGCGCTGATCACAAGCCAGAGGGTTAATAAGCTGTGCCATCTAATCAGTGCATCCGCTCCCAGTACTTCATTTTTTAATTTGAGGTCACATTGGAGGCTTTCCTGAGACTGCTATCTGGATAACTTTGGTCACAAAATTCTTATTTACTGTCCTTTTTTCAAAATCTTATGTTAAACATTGCACACAATTTCATCTGTGTAGGCCCTGGCTATAAGAAGCGTAGTAAAAGTCCTCGAGTTCCAGACAAGAAGAAGGCTTTGGCTGTAGCAAAGGCTAAAAAGATGGCACCCATTAGGATCAAACTATCGCCTATTGGTGCCAAGAGGAAGAAAAGTTGCTCAGTGAGTTCAAATCTTCTGCTATCTTTTTTCTTATTTTTCCAGTTTCTGTTAATTGTTTACCCTTTTTTCCTTGTTTGGCTGACTTCCTCTCCGCTGCCTTGCACTAGAGCGAGGACATGGACGAAGACGAGTCGGAGCAGGAGGACTCTAGCGTTCACAGCTCCTCGGTCCGCTCCGACAGCTCCGGCAGGGTCAAGAAGAACAAACGAGGACGGCCGGCAAAGAAGAAGAAGAAAAGTAAGCACGGTTCATCACTTCGAGACTCTTGTATCAAGTATACTTAACAACTTTTCCAGTCATATTTAAGACCTCTCTTTCGACCCCAGATGTCTCGCTGCCTCCAGTCCCAGGTGAGGAGGAGGGCGACGGCTACGAGACGGATCATCAGGACTACTGTGAGGTGTGTCAGCAGGGCGGAGAGATCATTCTGTGTGACACTTGTCCTCGAGCTTACCACCTTGTCTGCCTGGAGCCCGAGCTGGACAAAGCCCCTGAGGGCAAGTGGAGCTGCCCGCACTGTGTGAGTACCACCTGCTCCTGCTTTCCATGTTTGACCTTATTTCCATATTTATTTGTACCTGCTTGAGTGAAGCAGGAGTGCAAAAGTGGTTTGTTTATACTTGCTCGAAGAAGCACATGAATTGTAGCTTCCTCACAAATCTCAGTGGAAAGCGAGCTGCAGTCATACATAAACACAGCATAAAGATGCATCCCTGAAGGGGAGCTGTGGATGTAGATCTTTCATTTTATGTTTCCATGACACGTTGCTTTGTTTTTATGCTGAAACTAGTCTAGATTAATCAGCTGTATCCGCACCTCCAGGAAACATTCATTGCATTTTCTACTTTGTTCTGATGGTGTAAAGTTGTATTCGTTATACTTGAAGTATGAGCCAGACAGTCCTGGGTTCTTGTTTTCCCCAAAAATGAATATACGTGAATTTAATGTGCCCTTCCCAGATGTTTGGATCTTTCTCTATTTTATTCACCTGTTCAAGCAAAATGCTAACACAGAGGAACAAGATAAAAAGACGTGTTGTAGTTCAGACCTTGTGAAGTACAGAAAGTGATGATTCATAGATGTGAGTTGTTCTATGGGCTGCAGTATTTTCTGCTGTTGCTTGAGATCATGGTGATATCATTTGTATTAAGGTCTGCGTTAATAAACAAACATGAACCTCTACATTTAAAAAAAAAAAAAAGAAAAAAAAGAAAAAAAAAGAGCAGTAGCTCATAAAAATGTTCTCTTGTCACATATTTTACCTTTATCCAAAAACTGCAAATTCTGCAATATGATTGTGTAGCTCTACTAACTTAACATACACAAGCATGTGGTAAGTCACTTGTGTTAGGAAGTGATGATGGCATATAGCATTTGAAACTGAACCAAAAGCTAGATCTGTTGCCTCCAACCTCATTTCCATTTAAGAAAATAAAAGTGTCTGAGGGCTACTTGCTACACATCACTTACATTTAATCTCACAACGTATCAAAAATGAATTAAGCTTGTGGCTTACTTATTGTTCCCACGTGTTTATACCCAAAGCTTACAAAGCATAAAGACACATGCTGTGCCTCTGTGTTAACACCAAACTGTACATCAGCAATAGCAAACATTTCAGTTTGACTTTCATGGTCCCTGAATAACTCAATTCTTGTTTCCTTTAAAATCACAGCACCAGTAAAAGGTTAACCTCATTGAATAGAGGTTGCTGTTTTTCAAGCGTTGCTTCAAGGTAGTTCACCTTTTCAGCTCATAGTGTTTCAAGTCAGTCCTGTGCAACAGTGGACTTCCGAGTTCCAACTCAGCACTGCTTATTCTGCTGACTCAAACGCCGATACTGCAGATGAGGCACAAACACTTCCAGTACATTTAAATGTGTGAAAAACTTTGCTTTCCCACTCTAGACTAGTTTTTGTCTTGCTCTTGTTGTGGCATCCTCACACCGTGTCCTAACAGCACGCAGGCGTTAGATATCACGCATGATTGCACATTCGCTGTCCACACTGCATCCGTTTAATATTTCAGTCTTTGCTCTGTGAATTTCAGTTTCCCCGTGCAAACATGAGGACATCTAGTGCTTTTGTGTTGAAGGTGGACAAACGGAAGTGTGGTGCTCTGTATTGAGGAGCTGTTGACACAAATCACAACACTCAAAAACTCGTCAATAAACAGCTATGTTGAACTGATTAAAAAAAAAAGTTTTTCTCTGGTGACACAAGTCAAAGCTCAACAGTTCAATCACGGATGTGTATATTATTAATGCACTGTTATCTCCCTTTTGTATAATAAGCTAACATGTTCTGTTGAGAGAAAAGGGAGTGACAGTGCCTTATAGAGCCCCCACCTTCCGTGTTAATCGTCCGTCTACTCAAGCCACAGAGAGGAAAATAAAAACAGGGCGTCGAGGTAAAAATGGTGCGCCACTTCGGGCTACTACAATAGAATCAAGCTGATTTTGACACTGACGCTAGCTTGTGTCGCATACTGAGAGTTGTCCTTAAATATGGCTTAAAGAGGACATATTATCCTGCTTCTCCACCTTTTCAAACAGTCCCCTGTGGTCTAAATGAAACATCTGTGCTGTGCTTTGGTCAAAATATAACATGAATCAAGCACCAGAGGAGGTTTGTGACCCTGTATAAACCAGCTCTCTCAGAACACTCCGTTTTGGTGTGTGTGTCTCTTTAAATGTAATGATCCCCCCTCTGAGTTTTCCAGGTAGACATCACTCCTCTGTAGCGAGAATAAAAATGGCCGACCTGCGCAAGAGTTTTGTTCTAGGCTGGGGATGGAGTCCATGGGTGGAGATATCAGGGGAGGGGAGGGGATTCCTTTTACCAGAATCCCACTGTGACATCACAAGTTGTGATGAAGCAAATTTGAAACAGAGCATTTTTTACAGTCCCCTTTAACAGGCTTGTTAACGGTACCATGAATTTAAAATACATTATCCAGGTTTTAATCCAGCATTGCAGTGTTAATTTTGCATTTATCCGCCGTTATCTGAAAAACATATTTAAAAAAAAAAGTGTTTTACATTTTGATTTTGATATCAAAATAACTTCCTATTCTCCAACTTTTCAAATGTCTGATGAGTCATCCTGCACTCAAGGGCGTTAACTGATTTTAACGACCAATTAAATTGCTATTTTGAAGCTGATGATCCAATCAAATTCATCCCAATGTTATTGTCCCGCCTTCTGTCTTGTGATTGGTTCAATCTCTTTTCAATTAATACAACAGGACAGTTAGACACAAAGTCAACCTTTACTGGACTAGTTTTGCATTAATCAGGTCGTTACCTTCAGATAAATGCATTCCTTCCTTGAGGGCATCTTTCCGTTATGATGAAGGTGAAAGTGCCAGTGTTTCAAGTTCCAACCTCAAATTGATGTTGCTAGTCCAGGAATCGAAAAGCGTCTCCTCCTCAGCTTTCAGACTTTTGCTCGCTCAGTCGTCAATGTTTATTTTTCCCAGGAAAAGGAGGGAATCCAGTGGGAAGCGAAAGACGAGGACTTTGAGGATTACGAGGAGGACAGCGAGGACCGAGTGATATCAGAGGTCTGTGCGGGGCTCCCTAGCGGTGCAGGGGCCGAGGAGGAGGATGACGACCACATGGAGTTCTGTCGGGTGTGTAAAGACGGAGGAGAACTACTGTGCTGCGACACATGTACCTCCTCTTATCACATCCACTGTCTGAACCCGCCGCTGCCGGAGATCCCCAACGGAGAGTGGCTGTGTCCACGATGCACGGTTAGACGCTTTAGTTCTTTTCCTTCAGGGTTGTTTTTGACAGATTCTAGACTCCTCGTCGTCTCATTCAATTTGATCTTTAGTCCTCAACAATTTAGTTTTTACTTGTTTTTCTTCCAAAATGTGCACATCATCGTATTCTTAGACAAGATATGAGTAATAAATGAGTATGTGTATTTCCCTTTTAGTGCCCGCCAATCAAAGGTCGGGTCCAGAAAATCCTCCACTGGCGATGGGGCGAGCCTCCGCCTCCCATTCCTGTCCCCCCCGCCCCTGACGCCCCACCCGACGCTCCTCTGCCGCCTCCAATGAAGGGCCGAGCCGAGAGGGAGTTCTTCGTCAAGTTAGCCGCGCAGTCGTTCTGGCACTGCACCTGGATCACCGAGCTGCAGGTAAGAATACATCATCGCTAATGCTCCAAAATGATGCTGTTTGTACGGGGGGGATACATACAACACAATGTGCAATCAGTACATTATTCATCAGTCTTGCATCACTTTTGGACACCAGATTTGTGTTGTGGTTTAGTTGTAGTTCAGCAAAATGAAAGAGTATCTCATGTTATTCATCATAATTCAGACTCCTGTTCATGCAAGCAATGTTAGTATTACAAATCATGTTTCCACCTTCTTGCTATGTTGAAGAATTTTTCTGTACAAATACATCTTTTTAACGTCTTTTTAATGTCTTTTAATTGATTTAAATTAATAAAAAATCATTCTCTATTTTAAATGTTCCATACTGAGCTCACACAAAGAGACACAAGGTTATACTTTTACATTTAGAAACATTGGAAATAACATCTACTTGAATTGTATGAGTGAATTGTTACAAGCTTTTGTCGTTGCCCTTGTGTTTTATTATTATTTTCTAGCTTTAGATATATACATGGATACTTAAATGAAGCTGCTTTTGTTTTGTTATTCGTTTACCTTGTTGAAAAAAGGAGTCATTTTGGAAAAAGGTTGGCAGCTGAAACTGAAGCATCCTAAATAATCTCTAGCTAATGTTAAGGACTTCCTCTCTCTCTCCTTCCCCAGCTGGAGATCTTCCACTCTGTGATGTACAGAAACTACCAGAGGAAGACGGACATGGACGAGCCGCCCAGCCTGGACTACGGCTCGGGCGCAGAGGATGAGAACGGAGTGGGGAAGAGCGAGAAGAGGAGGGCCAAGGACCCCCAATACGCCATCATGGAGGACAAGTACTACAGATACGGCATCAAGCCGGAGTGGATGATGATCCACCGCATCATAAACCACAGGTAGAGGGGTCTGCCTTTTGTAAAAAAGCCTATTAATACTGAGAAATAGAAAGTAATACATCATTTGTCAGACAACAGGATTCTGTTTGTTGGTTAGGAAAGGGTTTAGAAATAAGATGCTATATTTCACACATGATACAAGCACTGTATGACGCCTCTTTATCAGTGTGGATAAGAAGGGAACGTACCATTACCTGGTTAAATGGAGAGACCTGACATACGACCAGTGCACCTGGGAGAGAGATGACCTGGAAATCCCTGACTTTGGGATTTACAAGGGCAACTACTGGAGACACAGGTAGGACAAGTTGGGAGCAAATGTTACCATTACTGACAGAACAAAAGTCTTTCGGGCGTTTTGTTGATTAACGTATTGACTCGTGTGTGACCATAGAGACACGATAATGAAGGAGGATCCGGACAAACCGAGGAAGATGAGGAGCAGGAACCAGGAGGAGGGAGAAGAGGAGGAGTCTCCGGCCTCACCAGTCACTGATGTGAGTTTACCCTTTTCTTCAGTTTGACTTTCTTCAGCTGGGTTTGTGATAGAAATAAAAAGAACTCAACTTTAAACTCTTTAGATTGAACTTCTACACACAGTCTGTCTCTGTCAAAGCTGATTTTCAGCTTCTTAAAGTTGTAGCTACAGCTTTAGTTTCAGTATCATGAAGTCAGATTTATATCTACTTCCTTTCTGACTTGTGTTTTATTTGCTTTTCATCATGAGGTTAAACCACATAAACCAGGAATACAGACTGTGGTGTCAATTTACATTACAACAATTAAGCCTCTTATTAAATAGTCAATTCTCTACAGACGTTGTCAATCTACTTTTTCCATTTCCCATATCATGAAGATTGTTGTAGCCTTAACTTATGTGTAAAGTTCTCCATTTCATGTAGTTCTCTTTTTTTATTTTGGTGTGATGAAAAATCTAACGATATTCCTAGAGCAGAATTCCCTCCACATTCTAGAGCTTGTATTTCTATGCTGTGTCCTACACATATCGTACCACTCTGCTTTGGGTTTTCTCTCTTCAGTTCCTTTTCCCATGTATCTCTAATGTACAGAGTTGAAGTTGTTTGATTTAACTGAAATTACTCTTTTGACTAGGCCACAGTGTTGCGGTCAATCTGTTTAATTCACACGGGGAATCCGGCCTGATGTATTTCTTAACACAATTAACTGAGTCTTGAACCCAAATTCCTCCAAGCAGAGGTATAAAAAACTTCCAGCAAACACTGTCAAAAGCTTTTTCAGCATCTAGACCAGGGTCATTCAATTAGAATTAGCAATTCTAATTGAATTCTCAAGTAAAGGTCCTGATAAAGAAAGTTTGATTCAATGGTATCTCAATGTTTTTTATTTTACTTATTTATTTTTTAATTAAGGAAAAGCATTCTCTTCACATTCACAATTTCACATAATAGCATAATAATTGCAAGACTCCTCTCTCAGACTTTCAAACATTGGAGCATGTTTTTAGCAGAACGAGATGGGTTTGAGGATTGCAGTATATTTAACAATGTAGCTCTTCCAAAGATTTTTCCATGACACAAAATTATTTTCAAAAGAACACAGGAAGCCTTCACCTTGGAGGGGTAGGGAAGGAAAATAAGAAAATGAAATACAGAGCAGGTTAACGGATGAAAAGTAAATGACAAAAATATGGAAATATCACCCGTGTTCTCTAATAAGTCAAATAAAATCCTTGTCTTGAAGGTTTGACATGTTCAGTCCATTTGGTCCATATTCTGTAGCATCTGTCCTTTTGGACTTTGAGGGAAAATGAAAGCCTTTCCATAAAATCTATTTCATATTATTTTGTCGATCTGAATGTTTTTATAAAAAAAAGTGCACTTTGATAATAAAGTGAAAGATAAAATAACAATCTGCTTAATACATACAGACGACTTTGAAAAAAGGAATATCAAATAAAAAAGGCTTTTATTTTGAAAAAAATAATTAAAGGTGTAGTTTGATTGACCTTTTCTTCTTTTTAGTAACTCCTTTCCAAACAGATTTTTTGATGAAAAAAAAAAAGGAAGAGCATATAGACCTGCTTCTGTCCATCTTATAATTTCACACTTCCTCTTAAGGGAGAGAAATAAGACGACAACTCCCAAAGTCAGTAAATTAGATTTTTACGTTGACCCAAAACCGACTTGAAGGGAACATTGTTGGCACGTTGTTGGTCAGTGAATGATTGTGTCAGGATTCTGGTGGATCAATCTTATTGGGCTCCTAGTTCATTTCTTTTGTGTCCACAGATCGGATTTGAGTTGGTAGGATTGCTGAAAACACATCATGTACTTTGTCTCATACTGATGTATGACACATGCTGCTGCATGATCGTTAGCTGTTAAATATGAGAATTCTCAGGTTTCAAATCTTACATGTCACATTGGCCTGTAGTTTTCACATCATTCTTTGTCTTCACCTCCTTTGTGGATTGCTGTGATGATGGCCTCTTTCCATGAGGGGCGTCGGCTTCCTTTTTTTTAAATGTTTGATTTGTGCTAGTAACACTGGGTTTAGTTCCTTTCTTAAAATGTTGTACCCTTTAGACGAAAAGCCATCACTTCCTGGGGCCTTGTTTTCAAATGTTGTCGTATTAGAAATGAGAAGTGCCACCCCTCTTTTGCTGCCCTTTCTAAATGAGCTAAATAATGTATTTCTAACCCCAAAAGTCTTTACTTTTTCATGTTCCTGTTGTGATAGGTGAGTCTCCTGCTAGCAAATGATCTATGCTTTCTCTTTTTAAAATGTATTTAAGACTTTGGCCCCTTTTTTTGGTGCTATTATTAGAGGGTCAAGTTGAATTATTTCCATTGTTTTGAGTATTTCTTTGTTTTTCTGACACCGATAACAACACTAATTGTCAAAGCTAATAAAACAAGAACAAGCACAAACACACTTTCTTCCAGTAGCATAGGGGTCCAACTCTTGGCCCCAAATTCCTGTTGGGCGGCAAGTGGAAAGTCCTCCTGCTTAGGAAGGGCCCCTTACTTGAGGAAGGCTCTCTGAAAAGTCTTCCTTTCCTTCTAGACAGGCCCCACATTTATCCTGCAAACTTTTCCTAAATCTGAATTTCAAATGAGGGAATTTGGATGTGGAGGATTGCTGTCGCTTTGCATCAAGTCATTGTGTTCAGGTTGAACAAACCCAAACATTTGGAAAACAAGTTGATCATGTTGTCTTAAGCCAGCAAAGCTTTTTTTTCTTGGGACAAGATAAGAAACCAAAAGTCTTTAGATAAGGTAAGGATTATATGTTGTGAAACACATTTGCAACCACTGCTATATAAACTCTGTATTTCAAAAAAATATGATTACAACTTGAAAAACAATTAACTAAAAAGTTTGCTAAGTGTTACTCTTTCTTCCCTCCCTGTGTCCTTCCAGCCGACAATAAAATACGAGGAGCAGCCGGACTTTGTGACATCAACAGGTGGGACGCTGCACCTGTACCAGCTGGAGGGTCTGAACTGGCTCAGGTTTTCCTGGGCTCAGGGTACAGACACCATCCTGGCTGACGAGATGGGACTTGGCAAGACCATCCAAACCATTGTCTTTCTGTACTCGCTCTTCAAAGAGGTACCAGAGCCCCTTAATGTAAGAAGTATTCGTTTTACTCCAGCGAGTTGTGAAGGTTGATGCTGAAGGGTTTATGTGAATCCTCAGGGTCACACTAAGGGTCCGTTCTTGGTCAGCGCTCCGCTCTCCACCATTATCAACTGGGAGAGGGAGTTCGAGATGTGGGCACCTGACTTCTATGTGGTGACGTACACAGGAGACAAGGACAGCAGAGCCATCATCAGAGAGAACGAGTTTTCCTTCGATGACACGGCAGTCAAAGGAGGGAAGAAGACCTTCAAACTGAGGGTAAGGACCATGAAGGGAGAAACTGCAGAACTTTCACAGAATCTTTGCTGCTTTGACTTTTTTTGTTGTTTATTCTTAACATAAAGATATTTCTTACTTTGAAGGGTGTTACACAAATAGACTTCATAGACTTACTAACAGATCCATCAGATTTATTTGTAGAAAGTCCACGCTACACCGTAATTTAAAAAAAGCCCCCAATCTGACCTGTAATAATTTAGCCTTTTATTCCATAATATTCCATATAAATTGATTTCCTCGCGATTGTCCAGTTTTGACACACTACCTACAGGCCTGAAGGATCTAGGGAGGAAAAACACAATTTTTATTTGACCACTGTCAGTGCACATGTCAAAGTTCAACCATAAACACTCCATAACATGAAGAAAATAAGTCAAAATAATAATCTTGACATAACATGTGATCCAATCCTCCCTCCTTTCTTTCCCTCTTCCTCATCCTGCAGAGAGAGGCCACAATCAAGTTCCACGTGCTGCTGACCTCCTATGAGTTGGTGACAATCGACCAGACGGCGCTGAAGTCCATTGACTGGGCCTGTCTGGTTGTGGACGAGGCTCACCGCCTTAAGAACAACCAGTCCAAGGTACCTGACACATTTCTTCATGTATTTCATTGATATTTTTATGTTGACTATCAAAGAATTATGACCAGGACATGTACTGACTGGGATATTATACTGCTGTAAAATCAACTCAGCAGCTCCCTCTGGTGGACAAACTGTGTAATGGCAACCTAAATCTCTAAATTCTAGTATTGTTGATTTTTCTTTGAGAAATCACTTTGTGGTCATTTTTGTATTTTGTACGTCTTCTTAAGTCAATTTGATAAGATTCACAAAAATAATTTCCATGTTAGTCTTTAGTAGTCATATTAGATAAAACATAAACCCTTAGGGCAAAACATTTTAAGCTCTATTACATCAAGGTATAAATGTTCAGAAATAGTGACAAATGTGATTCTACTGTACATAAGAGTTCAATCGTGTTTTTAATTGATTATGGAATTATGATAACATTTATATTGACAGCCATAATTACAATAAAGTAATTCATCAAACTCACTCTGATACTTAAACCATGCATTATACGCAAATACATGAAAGTGATGTTTCTTTTTCTTTTCTTCTGATGAAACTGCTTCATCTTACATATGTAGAGAGCGATTTTCACTGTGAATTACATGATGGTGTTTTTTTGTATTTGCAGTTCTTCAGGCGCCTGAACGATTATAAGATTGACCACAAACTGCTGCTGACAGGAACTCCTCTGCAGAACAATCTGGAGGAGCTTTTTCACCTGCTCAACTTCCTCACACCCAACCGCTTCAAGTACAACTTCACACACACGCAAACACGAGCTACATTATACACACACACACACACACACACTGACAGATTTTACAAGAATGTTTTTCTTAGTAAACTCAAATATGAACTTTACAAAAAGGTTTTTACTTTACTCTACTAACTACTGGCAAAATAATAAAAAAGTCATTTTCAATAGTATATTGTTTTAACGTTCTTAATAAAAAAAACAAAAAACTCAGATGTTCATTTATTTGCTAAAGACAGAGTTCACTGGTTAATCACCTTGTCCATCTTTCTGCACAGTAACCTTGAGGGCTTCCTGGAAGAGTTTGCAGACATCTCCAAAGAGGACCAGATCAAGAAGCTGCACGACCTGCTGGGGCCTCACATGCTGCGGAGACTGAAGGCCGACGTGTTCAAAAACATGCCGGCAAAGACCGAGCTGATCGTCAGAGTTGAGCTGAGCCCCATGCAGAAGTACGATACACAGACACAACTGGAAAATTGGGGAAAAATTCAGTTATACTTACATCAACACATCATAGACTTATAGTGAGATATATAAATATATATATATATATCACTTTTTGACTGACTTTGTTGTTTGGAGCTAAAAACATCCCGTTGAAAACATAAAGCTTTAATGATTCGTCCGAGTTATATTGAATTCACCGTGGATGAGACGAGGACTGTAGCCTCTGTTTGGGCGCACTACATAACCAGACCGCCCATAAGGGGGGGATAAAGGGGAATGCTTTCTTGGGCCCGGTCGCATGGTGGGGGCCCATGGAGGTCAGCATAAAAAAAACATTGTCCTTATTTCCAAATTTAAGCAAAAATGACCACATTTTATTTTACACCTAAATACTCATCATTACCTCTTAAGGGAAGAATGTGCAACATTTTACCTATAAATCCAGCAGACATCAATTGTATCCTGTTTAAATGTCTGTGTCATGTCTACAATGAAAAAGAGGATTTTCTGGCACTACCAAGGTGCATGAAGAGTGAAAGGCTTAGAAGAGGTCAAAATGCTCCAGCAACACTTGTAGTAAGAAGATCAACTTTATTTACAATTTAGACCTAAATTGTAAATAAGCATTTTGACCTCTTTCATGTCTACAATGAGTCAGAAGCGTGAGTCCCGTAAGCTGTACTGTTGTTAGAGCCGTGTTTACCAGCTCCTTCTCTTAGACTATTTCTGCGTTGTATTCTCTTGTTGGTATTCTTTAAGCGTCTTTGAGTACTCAAGAAAAGCCTTTTTTTTTTGTCTTTGTGTTTTTAAACAGGAAATACTACAAGCTGATTCTGACAAAGAATTTTGAGGCTCTGAACTCAAAAGGTGGAGGAAACCAGGTCTCCTTGCTCAACATCATGATGGACCTAAAGAAGTGCTGCAACCACCCCTACCTCTTCCCCGTTGCCTCCATGGTGAGTGCTGTTCCACACTGTCTCTGTTCTAAGGCCCGGTGCTTTGCTTTTGTTTCTGTACACTTGCTGTTTCTGCTTTTTTATGTTTTCTTTTAGAAGTTTTTTTTTTTAATAAGCCATCAACCTCTCAGTGACTGCAGGTTAAAAATAGCTTGTAAGTCTAAAAAACTGGCTATTTTTCAGTTGGCTTTAAAATAGATAGAACTTAACGAAGATACACAAAAACAAGCACCACAATAAAAGAACAGTACAGGATACAGGGGCCCATTTCAGGAAGAAGGTTTTGTACAAACTCTGAGTCAGTTAACCCTGAAATGAGGGAAACTCTTGGTTTTCCGTTTCAGAAGAGGAGGTCACTCAAAACTGAGAAAGAGGGGGTAACTCCAGCCCGTACCAGAGAGAACTGGCTTAATGAAAATAAATTGTATATGTTTGATAGCCTACCAGTCCACCAGTTTTGACCTGCAATATTATAATTCTGATTAAATATTAAATTAATAGACTTTAGGCGCTGACGCGAGCAGCCGTCTTTCTCTCCTTTGCCGCGGCGGCAGTGTTACTTTGTTTCCTTCTTAAAACCTGTTCATATTCGCCGTAGCCTGTGGCCACATGAAGATATTGATGTGTTTCGAGATGGTTAAAGTACAAGGATCTCTTTTTTGTCACCTGTTGCCATGGTGAATCGTAGAATCAGGGCTCCATTCATGTTGGCTTTTTATCGTGGCGGTGCACGCGCTGAACACCGAGTGGACCTACTCAGAGTAAATTTAACAAACTCAAATCTGCTGATCTGGAACCAAAAAATTCAGAGTTTCCCATCTGAGAGTAAATCAACTCAGAGCTTTTTTTGGGGGGGGGGGGGGGCTTTTTTTTTCTTTTTTAATGGAGAGATAGGACAGTGGAAAGAGTCAGTGAGAGAGAGAGAGAAAGAGGAGAATGACATGCGGGAAAGGAGCCACAGGCTGGACATGAACCCGGGCCGCCTGCTTGGAGGACCACAGCCTCCATATATGGGGCGCATGCACTAACCACTGCTCCACCAGCGCCCCGACTGAGGGTATGTTGAACCTTCGTTCAGAAACAGGCCCCAGGTGAAGCATTCCACATGTTCATCCCCTGAAACAGAAAAGGCTGTTCTACCAAGTGAAACCTTGTGGTGAATTTCAATTGTGTTGCAAATGATTTTTATTCACTGCAGCATATATCATGATTAAGTCCACATTAAAGCATTTTTTGACCATATTACACTGTGTGTGTGTGTGTGTGTGTGTGTGTGTGTGTGTGTGTGTGTGTGTGTGTGTGTGTGTGTGTGTGTGTGTGTCTCCAGGAAGCTCAAAAAAATCCCAATGGCGCTTACGAGGGCTCTGCACTCACAAAGGCGTCGGGAAACTGACGCTGTTGCAGAAGATGCTGAGGAAACTGAAAGACCAGGGGCACCGAGTGCTTGTCTTCTCCCAGGTAAACACACACACACACACACACACACACACACACACACACACACACACACACACACACACACACACACACACACACACACAGAATCCCCTCAGCAGATTTAGAATTTTTCCCACCTCAGCACTGATTCCAGCTGCACTCACAGACTCTCTCTGTCTCTCCTCTCATTTACAGATGACTAAGATGTTGGACTTGCTGGAGGATTTCCTGGACCATGAAGGTTATAAGTATGAACGAATTGACGGCGGAGTCACGGGAGCGCTGAGACAGGAAGCTATCGACCGCTTCAATGGTGAGATACCAATCTGTGGCCTAGATCAAGGGTCGTGCAACAAACAACTTTACCTGCTCAGACCCACTTATCCACGCACGCTTTAAGAGTTCAGCACACCATCATCGGCTGTACATTAACATGATTAAAACGAAGCCATGAGAAGCTTCAGTTTTGATCCGAGCGAAGGCATATCAATCGGCCCGCCCAGGTAACGTTTATGTGTTGGAAAAAAATCATCGCAAAACATGTCGAGGTTTTGAAGAAAAGACAGGACATTTAAACACTTAAGAATTCAAAACAAATGATTTATAAAATATAACATCTCTGGCTCTTCTCGCTCCTCCTGCAGCTCCTGGTGCTTGTCAATTCTGTTTCCTGCTCTCCACTAGAGCCGGAGGTTTGGGCATTAACTTGGCCACCGCCGACACGGTCGTAATCTTCGACTCTGACTGGAACCCTCACAACGACATCCAGGTGTGACACGGTGTTAGCTCAAGAGGAAAGAAAATGAACCAACTTAACGTAAACTTCATTCCTTTTCTCGTTCATCCTGCACTCAGGCGTTCAGCCGCGCCCACAGGATAGGGCAGGCCAACAAGGTGATGATTTACCGCTTTGTGACGCGGGCTAGCGTGGAGGAGAGGATCACGCAGGTGGCCAAGAGGAAGATGATGCTGACCCACCTGGTGGTCCGGCCAGGTCTGGGATCCAAAGCCGGCTCCATGAGCAAACAGGAGCTGGATGACATCCTCAAGTTTGGAACAGAGGAGCTCTTCAAGGACGAAGTAGAAGGTGAAGACAGGTTTTTTTATTTGCTTAATTCACCTTGAAGAGCGGGACGAACAAGTGAGCGCTTTTTGTCTCCTTCGTGTTCCAGGTATGAAGAACAGTTCAGGGGACAAAGTCGAGGACGAAGGCAGCGTGATCCACTACGACAGCGTCGCTATTGAGAGGCTGCTGGACCGAAGCCAAGACGACTCGGACGACTCGGACGTCCAAAACATGAACGAGTACCTCAGCTCCTTTAAGGTGGCCCAGTACATGGTCCGAGAAGAGGACAAGGTGAGAGCAGTTTACTCGTTTCTGTGTGTTGATGTCTGACGTAGAGGACAGCAGATTCTTCTTAGGAGTTCTCTCATTTGTTTCGACTGTTTTGTGTCAGTTTATTTTTTTGTCTTTGGTTCATGAGTAGAAATGTCGCTGAGCTCCTGATGATAAGTTTAGGATTAAAGGAGCAGTATATAAGATAATTACTGAATAAAATGATAAAGTGATCTTACTATATGATCAGACATTAAGGAAACATGCTGAAGTGCTGCTTACTTGAAAACAATGCAGCAGCCAGTATGTCCTCCTTCTAAGTTAAGATTACAGTCCTGAATGCTCTGGATTTGTTTGGACCAAGAGAGTAAGCAATGTTAAGGCACCCCCATGCAGGCGTTTTTGACACCCCTCAGTTGCCGGATATGATCGTGCCCTAAAGCTTCCTCGTCCACGACATGGTAGCCCGCGTGAGCAGATCAGTTGGAAATACAAAAAGTGTGTCGTTTCTGCTGCTGAATGCTGAAAGGTAGTGCTGATGCTCTGGTTTTATTTATACTGATGATACTAATAAGAACGTTTTTTTGGAGGATTCTATATTCAATTAAAAAAAATCCATAAAATAACCACAGAAATGAAGGGAAATTAAAGTTCTAACCTGTAAGCTAAATAAACTGTATGCATGCTTTAGACATTTGTTCAATTTAGAGTAAAGAGATCTTTGCAGAGAAATCTTCAAATGTTTTTTTTTTTTTTATAACCTGCATTTCTTTTTTCCTTTGTTGCAGATCGAGGAGATCGAGCGAGAGATCATCAAACAGGAGGAGAACGTGGATCCAGATTATTGGGAGAAACTGTTGCGGCATCACTATGAGCAGCAACAAGAGGACCTGGCAAGCAAGCTGGGGAAAGGGAAGAGAAATCGCAAACCTGTCAACTACAATGATGCTGCACAGGAGGACCAAGGTAGGAACCAGGTCTGGACCTGGTACTGTGTGGACATCTTAGTCTTTCAAAGTCAAGTAAGCCGGGAAAACTCCTTTAAGCCGTTTTATGTAATACGATCATGTCAGATTCTTTTGGGAAGCCCTGCGTTTATGAAGATTTATCTGTATTCCTGTGATCTTTGCAGAATAAGTAATTCTCCTGTTTGAGTTATTGCTTGCACAGTGGAAGTGAATGGGCCTGGCCTATTGACAGACCACCATGTGCTGTTTCAGAGTGGCATGCTGACATTTCAGATAACCAGTCCGAGTATTCAGTGGGCTCTGAGGAGGAGGACGAGGACTTTGACGATCGGCCAGAGGGTAAGAAGAGATTTAAAAAAATAGACCTCAAATGGAGCTCATGAAAAAAGAAAGATCGCCTGTTGTAGCACACACACACACACACACACACACACACACACACACACACACACACACACACACACACACACACACACACACACACACACAGAGGCAGGTCTGTGTTGAATTACAGGTTGAAATTGATTTAGTTGTTACAGTTGCCTGGCGGGTCGAATAAGTTACGTTGCCAAAAATGCAGACCGCCATCCCCCCTTCTCCAACCTTTACTTTAGACCGTTTGTGAAAAAAAAAAAAAAAAAATCCTTGAAGCATTTCAGGAGTTTTTACAATCTCACTGTACAGTCAAGAAAACGGAAAATGAAAAAAATGAAAAATGTCATCCCCAGGTCGAAGGCAGTCTCGTCGCCAGTTGAGGAATGAGAGAGACAAACCTCTGCCTCCTCTCCTGGCCAGAGTTGGAGGAAACCTTGAGGTTTGTTGGACACCCTGGAAACAAATCTGTGTCATCATTCAGTGGATTTTTGTTTTTGAATTGTCTGTAAGCTTTGTTTTAAGTTGAAATAAAACCCATGGATCAGTCATAAATCAGAGATGGCAGTAAAGCTGTTAAACTTCCAACAACTTTGAAACCTTACAGCTCATTTAAAATCCTGCTAAAATGGACATGACTAAAACCCCCTACATCTTTTAAAAGCAAGGCTGTAAGGTATATTTAAACACTAGGCAGCCAATAATGCCAATTTAAGTTTATGTTCAATTTAAGCTTTTTGAAGTTTAGGAAACACAGGATTAACACATCCTGATACTTTTGTAAAAGCTTCACCAGAATATCCTCTCAATCTAAAGTTTACTTCAATCTTCATCAAAAGGTTTTAGGTTTTAACACCAGACAGAGAAAGGCTTTCCTGAACGCTGTGATGCGCTGGGGGATGCCATCTCAGGACGCCTTCTCCTCTCAGTGGCTTGTCAGAGACCTCAGAGGAAAGACGGAGAAAGAATTCAAGTAAGGGAAACATCTGTCCATGTAAAGAATTTTGAAATAATCATTTGTATTCGCCTTTCACCAAACGACTTCTCCTTGTTCCCTTCTTCTTTTCCAGGGCTTACGTGTCCCTCTTTATGCGTCACTTGTGCGAACCAGTGGCCGATGGCGCGGAGACATTCGCAGACGGTGTTCCAAGGGAGGGCTTGTGTCGCCAGCCGGTCCTCACCCGCATCGGCGTGATGTCACTCGTCAAGAAAAAGGTAAAAAAAAAACCAAAAAAAACCAGAAACAACACAGAGTTATTTTACTCAACATTTGGGTCCTGGTTGTTTGAGAGTTTGAGAATTACTGCTGCTAATCCCTGAGGCAGGTGTGTTTTTTGAAAGGTGCAGCCTAATGAACTGAGACCTTCAGTAGAAGTGAGACATGCACCCTGACTTACCTTGATGTCAAAATGGGACATTTGGTTGACATCAGAAACTCATGTTGGATTGAGGTCAAAACCTGATATTGAGCTGACATCATAGCTCTATATTGTGTTGACGTCCAAAATGCTGCCGTTGAGATGACGTGAACACCTGATGTCGTGTTGATGTAAAATCCTGTGAAAAGTCCGGTTGGCCCAGAAACTGCTGGTTTTAAAATTTTGTCTTAAAACTCGTTTTTCTGCCTCGTCTTTAAACTCTGAATGAGAGTGGTGTGTTCTCGTGTCCTTGCTCTTTGGGTCAACAGTTGGGGTGATGGCTACACACTGTTCTGCTTACCGACAGCTATAAATAACTGTTGACTTGCTTTGAGAAAGCTTTTCACTTCAACTTGTAGCGAGGGCTCTGCCTAATGCATTGTTTCCTGTTAATAATTTAAAATAAATGTTTTTCCAAACCAGACACATTTAATGTGAAGCAACAACAGTAAAATGTATTGTGCTGACTTCATTTATAAATTGAAGGAACATTGCAAAGTATTTAGTTGCAGCAACATGACAGACTAGGATCCTCTCCATTTGTAGATTTTAAGTGCTGATTCAATTGTAACAAAACACAATCGCTTTTCATTTCAGATGATTATATAGTGATAAGAATGTACCTACAACTACATTATTCCATTTCTTTCCATAGATTACTTTAATCATACCGATGGTGCTTTGAAACAGCTCTCATTTGTTGTTAAGAGAGCAGAAACCAACAGGGGGGGGGGGCAGCACATGTGTAGTGAAAACATCATATATTTATGAGAGGAATTTAAAAAAAGTGTTGCTGCGTTATACTCTTAAAACATTCCCTGTTAATCCTTTATATGAAGGTAGACAGTTCCCCTCCACTAAGCATGAAAACTAATAAAAAAAGAAAATAGCTAAATGGCTGTGCATATGCCAACCGTGGAAAGTTACTCTAATGAAATACTCAAGGATAATCACTGTTCACTTGTTAAGTGGTAAGATATCTTTAATTTATCAATCTAAAAAGAACTTTCAGTCTTTTGGTCTTAAATAAAATGTTAGAGTTATTTTAAATAACTTCTGGAGAAATCCCCCTTGACATGTTGAAATATGTTCTGATTACCCCACTACTTTCAATTTGAAAATTTAATAGTTCACTTGACTTTCTCCAAACATAAATCTGGGTTTCAGTCCAACTTGTCAAAACCTGCTGACATCCTGATCTGCTATCTGTGCCAGAGGAATTTAGGAAACACTGCCAGGTGAACAGGGCATGTGGGTGGGTGGTGAGTTTAAATCAGGTGCTATGTGGTAAAAGGAGTGTGTGCCATGATTTTCATTTCACTGTGTCGTCTTTACTGTCCAGATTCAGGAGTTTGAGCACATCAATGGCCGCTGGAGTCTTCCTGAGCTCAAACCTGAGGTCAGCATAGATAAGACCTCTTCCAGGGCCTCCTCTCCTGCTGTGAAGACCGCCACGCCCACCCCTGACGCCAGCTACAACAACACACCGTGCACCTCCAAGCCAGGTGACCACACACACATGAGCACACTCCTGACATCCAGCAGGGGGCGGCCTATTCAAAGAAGCAGAGAATATGCAGGAGTTGAATCTACAGTAATGTCTGTTCATTTTATTGTACTTCACCAGCGACCCCTGCTACCTCAGATAAGCTGGAGAAGAACGGAAAGGAGGGAGAAAAGGAGGATGAGAAAGAGGAAGGAGAGGCGATGTCTGAGAGAGAGAAAGGGATGGAAAAAGAGAAGGACGAGGGGAAAGAGGAGGACAGCAAAAATACCCCAGAAGTTGAAGAGGTGGGATACTGTTGATGAAGAACAAACACATAACTGTGAAAAATATTCCAACTGCTTTGGTTTGTACAGAACCAGTGTTTTCTAAAGGCCACTATTTAGTTACATTTTCATACTGTGACAATACCACCATCAGTTTTAGCCGACTTAAAACATTCTTATTGCACAGGGAGCTTTGCCTACTTTCGAATAATCCATGCTGAAATCTTGAGAAAATGTCAATCGGCGGTAGAAGATGCATGTATGCTAGGAAAACAAACAAAACCACTACACTATACTTTAGAAAGGGCTCATCCAAGATTTTAAAGAGGACATATTAAACCAATTTTCAACCTTTTCTAACAGTCCCCTGTGGTCTAAATGAAACATCTGTGCTGTGCTTTGGTCAAAATATAACATGAATCAAGCACCAGAGGAGGTTTGTGACCCTGTATAAACCAGCTCTCTCAGAACGCTCCATTTTGGTGTGTGTGTCTCTTTAAATGTAATGACCCCCCCCCCCCCCCCCCGAGTTTTCCCGGTAGACATCACTCCTCTGTTGCGAGAATAAAAATGGCAGACCTGTGCAAAATTTTGTTCTAGTTGGAGTTGGAGTCCATGGGTGGAGATACCAGGGGAGGGGATGGGATTATTTTTTTTAACAGAATCCCACTGTGACATCACAAGGAGAGCAAACTTAAAACAGATAATTTTTCTCTGTGTTGTAAGACTTGTGCAGACTGGACTGGATGTATTTATTTCACATTGTGTGGGTCAGTAGACACTCAGGTTACACAAATATATGTTCAGAAACACTGTAGAAGTGGATTTGTTATAATATGTGCCCTTTAAATAAATTAAACTGGTTGCAAAAAATGAAACAACATACACATATATATAGCTGTAAAAAAAGACAGATGAATCGTGCGCTCATCAGTCATTAAAAGTAATCAGTGTCTACGATTTATCACATTCCTATCAAAACGGATGTATGGTTGACGATTGAACCAAACACATAACACACTCAGAAAACTGATGTGTGACTTTTCGCAGCTTTCATCTTCAACGAAAGAGGCGTTAAAAACATCGTCCCCTGGTCAGAAAACCGAAGGCAAAGGAGAGAGCAACCTAAAGGAGGAGGAGAAGAAACAAACCGATGACTCTGCTGCTGCTGCTGCTGCGACAACAAAGGAGAGTAAAGAAGAATCAACGCAAGACACAGACGTTAAAGAGGAGAAATCAGGTAAAAGAAGAAAGTGTTGAAACGGACAGAACATATAAAGAAGATTTGTGAAGAGAAAGTTAATCCTGTGTTGTTGTTGTTGTTGTTGTTGTTGTTGTTTTTGCAGCAGGAGAAAAGTCTGTGGAGGAGAATGAAAACGACAAAGAAAAGCAAGAGGAGATACAGACGGCAGCAGAAGCGACAGACGCTAAGGATAAGAGCGACGGAGCTGACGTAAAAAAAGGTAAATCTTACTGCTATGCTGCTCTAAATACATAAGCGCAATGTTTCTGCTAATTGATACGGTGCCGTTACCCGCTACAGAGGACGTTAAAGGTGAAAAGGATGCTGGGAAAGAGGTGAAGGCAGCGAAGGAGGAGGCGCCAATTTTCACCAGGGGGAACGGGAGGCCGCCGATTGAGCGACCTCGCTTTATGTTCAACATTGCAGATGGCGGCTTCACCGGTGAGCACGGATTGACCTCTGGAGGCTGCTTGTGGAAGTGACTTAAACTGATCAATGAAGCAGATTTGGTCTTGTGCACACATACATGCATTTCTGGAGTGAATAAAGGGTAATTAAGTTACTTTTCAACAGTCACTGCTGGACAAAAATCTTCAAAAACACATTTATCATAAAGAAAAAGTAACTCAAAGGATCCCTCAAACACTGAGAAAGTTGCTTTGTTTTCATAAATGCTTTGAACTGTAGTTGATACATGACACAAGTCTTGAATATGTCCTGAAATGGAGGTCATTTAAATCCTGAAAGGTGGGTTTTTATTCTAGAAAAGATGTTTGTTTTGTACGTCTTGCCTGAAGTTTGTGCTGGTGACCCTCATTTCATTTCTGAAAAGACCTTGCCTAGACATTTAAACAATCACTTGAACTGTTTCTCAAGTCTTATAATAGAATGATAATAAGTAGCTCTACACATTATTCCAGAAATAAATGTAACAAGGCCTTTACATCCCATTTGTATGGCTGTTTTCTATCAAAAGCTTTAAAAACAGATTGTGTAAGAGACGAGTCGAGAAAGGTTCAAAGGTGGAAATAAATGAATAAGTCATCAAGAGAAGTTCGAAAGCAGTCCAAACAACTTAAAATTCACGACTAATACAAAAATAGCATTCCCCTCTCACTTACCAGAGCTGTGCTAAAGCAGCAGGCAGTCAGAATTATCTCCACCTTAATCACATACCCAGAAAAGCCTCCCGTGCTGCGGAAGCACCTGCAGCCAGGTTTCAGCTAGCTAAGCAGTTTGAGACAAAGCTCTTGTTCTTTTCTTTTTTTTTTTAACCTGTTTTGGCTTCACTCCTGCAGAGCTGCACACTCTGTGGCAGAACGAGGAGCGCGCTGCCATCTCCTCGGGGAAGATGAACGAGATCTGGCACCGCCGACACGACTTCTGGCTACTGGCGGGAATCGTGATGTATCCTTGACAGGTGTACCCAGACGATGACCCGGCTCTGTTTATTTTACCATCAGACCTCAGAAGCCCAGCGTAATAAGTCAATAAGCCAGCAAGAGTTCAGTAAACAGCAAACGGTGTCTGGTGGAGACTGATGTAGTGGGTCATTTAGTTCATGCTGTTCTGTCTATTATGGTAATGAAGGGCATGCAGCACTCACATAAAACTCTGTTCATTATTTTGTAAGCTAATGCTGCAGGGTAGTTAGACTGAAATAATAAGACCGAAATGTTTTCTTTCAGGAGCTGCCTGAAACCTATTTTGTGAAAAACTTACTGCAACACGTATATTAAGACAATAAAACACAAAATAAATCTGTTTAACTCAGAAGTAGAGCTCAATGTTTTGGGGTTTAAACTGTTTTCCTTACTTGGCATTCAGATTCAAAGTGGGAGTAAAAGGTACAGATCTCTTAACCAAACCCTTTTCTGAATTTCTTTTTTTAAATCTTAAATATTTCTTTGAATATGGAGCTGGAGCTGTGAGGTTCTAGGCAAGGCTAAGCATAAAGACTTGCCAGAGCAGGAAAAAGCTTGCTTGGTTTAAACAACCAAACATCGCTTTCTATAGCTCACATTTTTAAAGTTGTATCAATGTTTTTTTCATTTATGCAAAAAAATGTAAATGTCAGTTAAAATTGGTTTTAGAAGGAGCTAAGTGCTGTAGCTTTTTTTTCCCACAGGTGTAGCCGCTCTGCTAATATCCAACCATGGCAAAGCAAATCAAAAAGCTGCAGCATGTCGACAAATCTAGCTGGAAAATCTTTTTTTCTTCCTTTTTGAAAATGAATGCAGAAATAGCAGTGTAGAAAGAGCTACTTGCTTAGTCATGCTAACAGCGTCTTGGCTCAAGCACCATACATGAAGCAAACGTTTCAGCGCAGTATCTTATCTTATCAACAAACTGTAATTGAGAAAGCAATGCTAAGTTTTTTTTTTTCCTCTTTAGCTTCACTGTAATGTTAGCTTTATTGTGATACTTTAGAGCGATTAACCTTGACCCCTGTACCAGTCACGGCTACGCCCGATGGCAGGACATCCAGAATGAACCTCAGTTCGCCATTGTCAATGAGCCTTTCAAGTCGCAGGCAAATAAAGGCAACTTCTTGGAGATGAAGAACAAGTTCCTGGCTCGACGATTCAAGGTAAGAGAGTTTCACCATGACTTTCTGAAGTAGAGTCACACAGCATGTATTTGTCCTTTAAAGAGGACATATTATACTAATTTTCCTCCTTTTCTAACAGTCCCCTGTGGTCTAAATGAAACATCTGTGCTGTGCTTTGTTCAAAATATAACATGAATCAAGCACCAGAGGAGGTTTGAGACCCTGCATAAACCAGCTCTCTCAGAATGCTCCGTTTTGATGTGTGTCTCTTTAAATGCAATGACTCCCCGCCCTTAGTTTTCCCCGTAGACATCACTGCTCTGTAGCGAGAATAAAAATGGCCGACCTGAGTAAAAGTTTTGCACTAGGCTGGGGATGGAGTCCGTGGGTGGAGATACCAGGGGAGGGGAGGGGAGGGGATTTTTTTTTTTACCAGAATCCCACTGTGACATCACAAGGAGAGCAAATTTGAAAAAGAGCATTTTTCTTCTGTGTTGTAAGACTTATGCAGACAACTAACAAAGGACTGGATGTATTTATTTCACATTTTGTGGGTCAGCAGACACTCAAATATATGTTCAAAAACACTGTAGAAGTGGATTTTTCATAATATTTCCCCTTTAAGCCTTTTTTTGTGTTTATTTTGTAACAAGAAAAACCTCTACAGATCTTTTTTTTTTTTATGTGAGCTAAAGTTTTCAGGCATGTACAGATACAAGTAGTTTGATTATAAACAGACATTCAAAGCCAACCTTTCAGCAGGGGGACATATTCCATGAAGTGGTACTTGTCCTTCAGACATTTTGCAGTTGCCACCACAAAATGATTGAGGTCCAAAACCCAGCCTACTTCCATGCAGACAAACTATTTCAGGAACAATTGGCAGCGTCTTCAATCACCTGACTTGTTTGATCGTCGGATGACGGATGCCCCTAGACCCACATATTTGCTGGGTGGTTTTGCTGACTGCTGCATTTATGGAGAATCTCTCATCCTGTTTTGACCGGCTCACATGTTTCAGATCCTGCCCTTAACATCCTCATTTACTCTATCTCTTTCTAGCTCCCTTCTTCATTTCTCCTAATCTTTTTTGGTGACTAATTTCAGGTTTTTGTTAAATATAATCATCAAGAACAACCAAGACAGAAATAAGATTCACACCAATCCCCCAATGTGTTTTATTTATTTGTAATTAAAATGAATAATGCTTGTGTTATCACAGTTCTTCAATGTCTTTGTCTTTAGTTCAAAATAGAAAAATAACACACTTCAGAAACCAGTTTGATTGTAGTAACAGTGGATTACTGAGCTAACTGAGGTATAAAGTGCAAATCTTCAAAGCTGTGGGAACATTCAGAATCTAAAAGATCGCAGGACTGCTTCCATAAAATCCAACATGCACAAACGTTTATTTTCAAACGCTGGATGCTTTTTGTCTTCAGCTGTTGGAGCAGGCACTGGTGATCGAGGAGCAGCTACGACGGGCGGCCTACCTGAACATGACCCAGGACCCGAGCCACCCGGCCATGGCGCTGAATGCTCGCTTTGCTGAGGTGGAGTGTCTCGCCGAGTCGCACCAGCACCTCAGCAAGGAGTCGCTGGCGGGGAACAAGCCGGCCAACGCTGTCCTGCACAAAGGTGACGGGCTGATGGCGAAAAATCTGTTTACGGAGTAATTTCAAAAAAACAAATCCAATGTGTGAGAAACAAGCAAACAGATCAACTCATAAGGATTGTCAGACAGATAATCATAGGCAAACGTGAAAAGAGGTACAAAATCAACATATTTCACAGTGCTGTTGTACTTTCTACTGTTCTGTCTGAAGCTGACTTTGGTTCATTGAACAGATAAGTTGTTTAGTGACAGCTCCAAACAGTTCTTTACTATGTTTGTATTCTTTCTCTCCACTGAGTACATCACTGCACTACTGTTTTTGATCCTGTCTTGAAAAAGTTCAGAATCTAAGATGTGACGACTTTTAAACAAACTTAGTTAAGACCCTATAAGAGATAACTACAATAATAATTATGCCTGTCCTGTGTTTTGGATTGTATTAATTATGTCTCTTATTTATTTATTTTTACTCCTGTGTTTGTGAAAGCACTTTGTAACCGATGTCTCAGAAGTTTTGATTTTCTCACGCACTTACTTCCTCAATAAGCTGCAAAAAATTGATTGTAATAACTTAAAACCTTCTTCTTTTTTTTTTTAACTTTCGCTTATCATCACTGTTATTCCAGTGTCAGGTCAAACAGGGACAAAAAATAATGTATTATTTGTGATATCTTGCATTTTTTTTACCTTCTGAGAAAACATATTTTTGTAGTCATTCTGTATTCAGGGATGTATAATAATTTTGTATCCAATTAAGTTTCTTCCTCAGCTGATGTGCTCTATGTGTTTTTGTTGTTGTCTCACAGTGCTGAACCAGCTGGAGGAGCTGCTGAGTGACATGAAGGCTGATGTCACCCGGCTACCGGCCACGCTGTCCCGAGTCCCGCCCATCGCCGCCCGTCTGCAAATGTCCGAGAGGAGCATCCTCAGTCGACTGGCCAGCAAGGGCACTGAGACGCACACACCCCCCGGTCAGCAGCCTTTCCTTCCCATTTCACAAAAACAGTACACGAAAAGATGCCACAGTCACAAGTTAAAACCTGCTCGTGCTGCCTGCGTTCAGTGGAAAACTAACTGTTGGAGGACGGCCAATGAAAATAAAGAGCCCATTATATTGTCACCCACCTGTGGTTTTTCTCTTCTCGACTGTTTAGTCAGCAGATTGTTTTTTTTTTTTCTTTTTTCAGTTACGTAACCTTTAAGAGGCTTTATTGTTATGTTTTCTGTCTCCAATATCCCTGAAAATAAAACCTCTCTTCCTCCGTGCAGCCCATTCCTCCAGGACCCTACGCAACCCCTCAGAACTACGGCGCCCCCTTCACCCCAGCACCCCCCAGTGCCCTACATATGGGAGGGGCCAACTACACTCAGATGCCACCTGGATCCTTCATATCAGGTTAGTGTTTTGGGGGCTCAAACTAAGGGCGCACTCACAAGATTCAAGCTAGATTGCCCCCCCCCCCTCCACATTCCCCCGGTGGCCTGCGCTCACACTGCTCCAGGACTAACTGTGACCTCATGTACATTACGTCTTAATACAACACATGAACGTCTTTACGTTATCATGAAGCGTGCTTAGTTTACAGTACGAGCGGAATCAAACATTTTAAAATTTTTTAAAAGGGGCTCTCGGACAAGTTGGTATTCCCACATCAGAGAAAATCACAGAGCATTTTACTGACTTTGTGGCTTATTTTGAGTCATTTTATTCCGATACAGCCAGAACACTTCTTTTTTCTTGATCATGGAAGTCCGTCCACGTTGTGTACCCCCGTGCTTGTTCTTGTGCATGAACCGAAGCACACATCAGAGAACTCACACTAGTCAAATGAACTGGACTTTAGGGGGAGGCGTGCTTAGGCATGGTACGGATTGCCTGGTGTGAGTGCGCCCTGAGTTATTTTTCTTCTTCTTTTTTTTTCCAATATTTTTCTTCTTGGGGGCTTTTTTTTTGTGCCTTTAATGGAGACATAGGACAGTGGATAGAGCCGGAAACCAGGGAGAAATAGTCAGGCATGACATGCGGGAAAGAAGCCACAGGTGGGACTCAAACCTGGGCCGCCCACCCGGAGGACCACAGCCTCCGCACATGGGGCGCGCACACCAACCACTGCGCCACCAGCGCCCCGCTTAATTATTCTTCTTAACTGAATTACAGGCAAATATCTTTTTAAAAGATGCCTCAAAATTGATAAATAGATTTGATTATATATATTTTGAAGGCATTCCACAATGAGTTTAAATAAATTGGATTTAAAGTGTAAAGAATAGAGACGGAGAGTAGGCTTCACCTGCCGATGCCAGAGCTCGACCTGTGAATCTGTGAGTGAGAGAGACAGAAAGGTGAGTGTGTTGCAATCAGTGATAATAACGAACACCATGAAGTATTGAGGCGTCCATAATTATAGTGTTCAAGTTGATTTATACAACAATAAAAGTGTGTTTGAGCTGTTTGGCACTTGGCGAGCTGTACGATTTAGACCAGATTGATGCTGTTAGATGAGTTAGTGAAAGATTCCTGTTTATAAACTTCATTTACATGGTCGTAAAAGATTTATAAATGTTGTAAAGTCTATTCTGTTGAACTGGAGGAGAAAATTACCCAGATGATGTCAAAGTGACGTCATCAAAGTAGTTTCTTCTTGAGCTTTGAGGCTAATAGTTAATAGCAAAGACAGCTAATTACAAACTCTGGGTATTTGACAGATGCAGGTGTGGAGTGTCAAATGAAAGACTGGGTTGCGTTATAGGAAATGTAAGATTCAGCTTTTTGGAACTTGAACCACTGTTTGGTGCTCAAAGCAGGGATGTATTTGGCTTTGCTGCTCTGATTATGACTGTTCATCTTTAAAGCATCTTTTGAAATTCATACATGTAATGTGAGAGTGAAATACACCTTTATATATTTTAAAGCATTTAACTCTACAGAAGTCACTATTTTTATGAATAAAAAAAAGGGATAATTTCTCTAACATTCCATTATTTCTTTAAAAAAAAAGACAGGTTGCCATCTTTACAAGAACCTTTATGTTCATCATCAAAACCCAAAAAATGGTCTAAGATAATCTTTTCAAGTTACTTTTCGTTATATCTGTGAAACAGATGGCTAATAAAAGTTTTAGCAGTTAGGATTTTCTTTTTGCCAGGATCCTCTTTCCAAATAAATATTTCTTTTCACCTGGAAAATGTTTTTTTTTCATGGACCTTGGAAATATTTTCCCAGCAGAAACTTTCACCTATGAAAAATGTTGGTGGGTAAAGAGAAAGGCAGACCTTGATCACCACATTTTTATTTTTTTTTTGCCTCTTGGGGCTACCATAGAAATGTAATGAAGAAAACACGTGCAGATCAAGCTCACTAATGACAGTTTTTTTTTTTATCTGTGTAGTTAACAGAGAAACACAAGTCCTGCTTTTGAAGTCTGGACTTGATTAGTTGGCAACTTTCGCTGATGACGGGTCAAACCAGTCCAAAAAGAGTCTTCTATTTTAAGATATCATCAGAAGAATTCCAGCTTTATTTGGTTATGTTGTTGTGGAAAAACATTTGTTCAGGCTTCATGAAAATGACTGACTCTGGGAAAGTCTATACACTTAGTTTTGTCCTCAAGTCCAGGTTATTTGACTCTTTCATTTGAAAAGTATCTCAAGTGTTGTAAAGAACTATCTGATGACTAAGAAGCAGCACCCAATTAAACACTTTGAAAGGACACTTTATCTCCCAAGCAGCTAAAGTTGTGAAACCTTAAAAAACCCAGACAGGACTCCATATTGGAGAAAAACACATGTAGCACAGTTTCTGATGTGGCTGCCAGACAGACACCTGAAATAGACATTACCCAAATCAAACACATAACGTGCTGTGCTACTATATTAAGGCATTTTCATCTCTTAACATGTCCAACCTTGAAACCTCAATGCTTGGCTCAGCAGTAATGACATATTGTGCAACAATAAGAGCACAGTCTGGATTGCTATCAGACCTGTCTGAGGAGTGTTTTCTTTTCCAAGCATGTTTATTTTCTCTTTTGAAGTTCGATTGTGGCTCTCATTACTCTTGAATCGTTTAAAAAAAAAGAAGGTTTTGGGCCTCCCCTGGCCTGTAGTCTATCAGTGCATACAGGAAGTTTGTGAATTTAGTTTCTCATAATTAGTTTGTTAACAGCATATGCTCACCAGGCGCGCTCTCTGCTTTGTGTGTGTATTCGTGTTCGGATATGTTTAGATAGCAGAGATAACTGGTCAAACCTGATATTACCCAGTAGCTTTGCCCTAAAAAAAAAAAAAAAAAAACCACAACACCTAGCTCCCTCCTTGCCTCTCACTCAGTGAATCTTGATTTATGTAATTGTAGACCGAGACATCTGTCAAAGGCATTGCATTTTAGTGAGCCAGGGCCTATCTCTGAAAATGTCATTATGCTCAGCCCGTCTGAAGCCGGCGGTGCCAAGAAAACATTCAGACTTTGTGCCGAGGTATTTTGAGAGGGACGCAAACCACAGAAGGAGTTTGGTTGTGTAAACGTCGTGTTGTGACTTGTGAACCAGCAGAGGGTTGGGCTGCGCCGAAATAGTCGTGCCAGTTGTGTTACTTTGGGGTTTTTTTTTTTTTTTTTTGCTCCTGGGGTCCTCGATCTGAACATCCTGAACTCTGGCACGGCACAAGCATGCAGCAAACGAGGCCACATTTATGGTCCTGATTGGGGTCACAAGGTTCCTGACCTTTGTGATCTCAGCAAGGGAAGGAAAAAGAAAAACAAATATTACGGAGTTACAACAACAACAAAACTCTGATTCTGTGACCTTTTAGCTTCTATGCATCAATAACCCTCCAATGAGAGAACAAGTACAGAAAACATAACCAGAAATATGCATGTCTGCTGTGGCACTTTTTTTTTTTTACTTCACTTTCACTACTTAAGCTGCACTCTGTGAACTGATGAAAAATGTGAATGATGCAACAAATGCTCCAATAAAGGATTGTTTTGTGCTGTTTTACACATGGCGAAATTCAGCATTTGCTCTTGAATTGCATTTTGGGGAAACCTGTTTCTGCCATCAGTACTGCAAAGAGGAAGCTACTCATCTGCACACAGAAGGAGTTCCACATTCTAGACAAAAGTTCATCCGGTAGGGGCGTAGAAATTAGGGACATTGACCTTCGAGTGGAGTGAGCCCTCATGACTGCAATCGCCTTCTCCACTGAAGAGATTCTTTAAAAAGAATCCCCTACAGGGACAAGTAAAGTGTCACATTTTCCTGCCTCCCCCTCTCAGAGTCTCCACTACAGTCTGCCGCTTGTCTGCCCCCACAGAAGCCGCCGCCGCTGCCGGGGCCACCGGGGGAGCCGCTGGAGGGTCGGCCGCCGCTTGCCAGAAGACGAAGGAGCACGATGTGGGGCAGCGGCAGCGGGTGGTGGACCTCTGGAAGGATGGCAAGTCGGAGGGCGCCATTGGGCAGGAGCTGAGAATGCCCAAGTCGACGGTGCACAGCATCATTGTCAAATACCGCCTCAGCAACACGGTGGAAAACCTGCCGCGCAACGGGCGACCCAAGAAACCCTGAGGCGAGAAGGAAACTCCGAGGAAAAATCGACGACAAAGAAGAGATCAAACTTCCTGACGTTGACAAAAAAACAGATATAAAAAGGAGAGAAGAATACCTGAACTCAGGAGAAAGAGAGTCTAAAAAAGGACCCAAGGACAGAGCACAGTGACTCTGCTGGAATGTAAGGAATAAAAAGGGAGACTCAAAAACTGACTTGATGGATCGATTAAGGAGGGCAGGCCAAAAGGAGAGGGCATTAAAAGTGGCATCCATTAAAAGAAAACACTCAAAATGAGAGTGGAAAGGTGCTGGCCATGAGATCAGGCACTAATGATGCGTGGGGGGAAAATGAGGCAGAGAGAGAGAGAGAAAAGAGAAGACCTGTCTGGAACAAACAAATCCTCTTGCAGAGAGAAGACGCTGCTGAAAAACTTCTGATGTTAATGGAAAAGATGCTAGACTTAGCAGGGTAGGAAAAAAGATGGTATGTTAATGCAATCACAAGTTTGTCAAGAATTTTGAGATGAAGGCAGACATGCAGGAAAATGCAAAGGAATAAGGACTTTTTTTTTCTTTTTCTAAATCTTCTCAGACAGACTTCTTTCTTCTGTTTCTCCATTTGCGCCTAAAAAAGATTTCCCCCCGGATCAATTCTTCATCTGCCGGCAGACTGAACAAGCAGGTCCCCTTGCTTTGACCCTGTACTCCCTCATTCCTCCACACTCCTCCGTCTCATACACACATATACAGTATATATATATATATATATACACACACACACTTTGGACCTCAAACACAACCTATAAACCTGAAGAGAACTTAATTTATCTGCGGAGTAGAGGCAGATGAAGTCCAAACTTAAAATAGAATGGAGCTTAGTGGACTCAGGATACCATGCAAAAAACAAAAGACTGCAAAAAAAAAAGAAGTCTAAGTATAAAGCACAGCTTCCCATGGACTCCTTTGCCCCTGAATTCCTGAGCCCAAACAAAAAGTGAAGCAAGAACTCTAAATATAAAAAAGAAAGATGTTGCCTTTAACTATTACAAGCAGATTTTCTGACGGACTGATTTGGAGGATTGAAATGTATTACAAAGCATATTTACTAACACACCTTTATTACAGGGGAATCATGCTCCAATGATTTTTACATATCCTGTCTTTATGCCTCATCACATACAATATCAGTATTTAGGAGAAGAGTCAAAGGCTGTAATCTGTCATCAGAAGATAAAGGGAGACTCACTTTGAAGCCTGAAGAGACTTCTTTTGGTTCTTTAAGCTCCTTTTATTGTGACAGCGTGATGGATGCCACGCTGGAAAATGTCCCCCAAACTCAGAAAATAAAACACTCTGGACTGTGTCATGAGTTTTCCAGCTCTGTGTGTGTCTGTCTGTGTGTGTGTGTGTGTGTGTGTGTGTGTGCACTGTGTGTGTGCACTGTGTGTGTGCACTAGAGCTGTACATTAGCGTGACATCCCAGACGAAAGAGCTGCACAAACTCCTCTGCCTCGAGACGTGAAAAATCGGTTACACAGTTCATTCTTTTCCAGGACATCTGAGTATTTCTAAACTCAATCGTAATATTTCCCCTTGTGCTCGACGTACAAAAGACGAGATAGGTGGCCAGCAATGAGAATTATACTTGTGGGTACATTTAGGAATGCTGTGTGTGTGTGTGTGTGTGTGTGTGTGTGTGTGTGTGTGTGTGTGTGTGTGTGTGTGTGTGTGTGTGTGTGTGTGTGTGTGTGTGTGTGAAGGAAGGGCCTATATTTTCATCAAAACTTTGTAACTTATAAGCCAAAACTAAATCCCATTTTCTTTTGCAAATTCCCAAGCAATACCTTTTGACACCTTACTTTAATGAAGACAGGCTCTTACAAAAGCTGTTTTAAAACTTCACAAAATCATCTAAACTTTAGAAATCAGTTGGGGTTTTTTTTTTTTCTAAATTTCAGAGTTTCATCGTAGTAGAAAATTAGCAAAATTAAAACTTAAAAGTTTAACTTTTTTCATAATAAATTGGTCAAACTGGTTAATGTGATGTAAAATGAGCTGCAAACCGACACACATACCTCTGTAGTAGCAAAACTTAAAGGTGCACTGTGGCGTTTTGGTGGTGACATGCAATGCTAACATTAGCCGCGCTCTGTAAACCAGTTTGACACAAATTCAACCCACAAATGCACTGTTTTTTGTTTTCACTTCCCTTGAAAACACCCCAAGGAAACAGTCAAAATTGAGCACATTTTATCTCATTGGTTTGCAGAGTGTGGCTAACGTTAGCAGGGCTAGCACCGCTAGCCTTCGGTCCTCCCTGCAGGTTAACATCCATATGCTCATGCTGAATGAGGTTATGCATTGCTCCAGTAGATTTGCATTTAAACCTGATATAGCCTTCGAAAATGTTATCTCAATATCTAGAGCAAAATGTGCTCAAACATATGAGATGTGTTCTGCACACTGTGCTCGTTTACATCTGGGTTGTAAAGAGGAAAGCAGGCCTTGCCCTGTATAGTGGGGTTAGGCTGCAGTTTAACTGTCATGGAGGGCCAACTTATACAAAGATTATCAATGAGTTTAACCGACTAGTAATTCTGGTGCCAACTACTACTGAGGGTTACTACTGTTAACTCTTTAGGGCAGGACACACAAATCAATTGAACTGCTTTTGCAGACGCTAAAGCTTTGCAAATGAGAGAAAAAGATAGGGTAGATACAAACTGCGATGCTGAGCAGATAGCATCCGGGGTGCACCTGTCTCATTTGTATCAATGTAAATGAGTGAATATTGAAAAACTGAAAAGTTGCTCACTTAGTATGCGTATAAACGTTGTTGTAAATACCATCTCATCCACAAAGACGCCAGTCTGCTGTGGAGCTATTTAACACCAGACCTGTATTAAAGAAATCATATTATGCCCTTTTTGGGGTTCGTATATTTAATCTATGTACCTACTTTTGTACGTTCACAATAGCTAAAGTTCTAAAAAAGTGTCTGTTTTCATGAACTGCTGCTCCATGCACCGGCTCACTTCTGACTCTCTCTCTAAGGCTCTGAAGTGCCCACGTTCAGAGTCCCCACGTGTGCCAAGTGTGATCTGATTGGTCGGCCTGTCTGCTCTGCCGTAATTGGTCAGTTGCTCAGCAAGGTTCTTGGAAATGCCACACCCCTTTTACCATATTGGGAATGCAGCCACTTTGGCTCTCCGAGAGGAGCACAAACATTAGCACCTTAGCACTACTGTGCTGCTGCAGGCTACGGCATATCATGGGCGTGCTACAGAAGTTAACGGGCGTGCAACATGAGCTGCAGGGCTTGCCACAACGAGCCAATGGGCTTAGATCAGTGATATCACACTGACAAGACGTCACACTGGCAATTTTTTTTGAGGGGGGCTAGAACCGAGCGTTACATGCAGCTAATGCTACAGCTAACAGGAGGAGGTAGGAGAAGCCACGTTTCCACAGACTTTGAATTTTTGCAAATAGATGTGCCTAAACATGCACAGGACACATGGAAAACACACTAAAGAGCATATAAAACCAGAAAAAACATAATATGGGACCTTTAAATCGGCAAAATTTCTCCTCTTTTTTTCTCTCTCTGCTCACTCAAATAAACGCAAAATAACAGCACAATGCACTCAGCTGGTGGTAAATAACAGTACATATTAAACATGTCCTCACCTCTGAATCACTGCAGGGAGAGCACAAGGGAGCGATGGGTGAAGAGGTCAACATTTTGATACGTTCTCCCATTTAAACTTCAAATTGTATTACATTTTTTCTGTTGCTCCAGAAGTACGATGCTCTAAAGTTTTGCTTTATTGATACTTCACTTGGCCTGAGCAGGTACAGGGCAGCTATTAGAAACCAGGGTAAGTTGTATACATAACACAGTATCCCATTTTCTACAGGTAGCAACATCTGGATATGATGTTTACATGCACAAACACACAAACGGGATAGGCTTACTTAAACAAATAAAAAAAAATTAAAAAAAATGGGATTATCCCAGATCAAAACAGGGATATAGATGGAGACTCAATTCCATTTTAACAAAGTCATTACTATCCGATCCTAAAGAGTAAAAAATGATAGAAATTGATTAATCAAAGTTTAATGTAGGAACTATCTGATCACAGAATAAATGACCATTACTAAGTGTGTGCCTTAAAAAACCTTAAATATGTTTTTTTTTAAGTAATGAGGTGTATGCACGTTTTAAAAGTAACTACAAAGAGAAACGTAGACATGTTAAAATAACCTCCCTTAAGTGAAATACTTAAATGTCAATTTTACCTCCAATCCCCTGAAGCTCACAGATTTATGAAAGTAATCTAAAATCAAGCCGGAGCTTCAAGTTCCTGAACAGTCGACGGTTCAGACCCAGAAAGTTGTTCCTGATGAAAGGTTCTGGCATAGAAAGACTTCTGCAAAGCATTGCAGCATGCAAATATGTGGCATTTCCTGCCAAGATGGCAGCGCTCACTTCTATTTGATAGTAGGCAGGACCTACAGGGGAGGGACGGACACAGGCTGTCATGTTGGCCAGGAATGATTTTTAATAACTTTCTGGCCTGGAGATGATCCCCGCGGTGAAATGATCAAGTCTGAGTCGTAATGGAGAATAACAACGAGTTAAGTTAAGAACCTTTCTATCTTTCTAACAATGTCTGCGTCTATCATGAAGCTGCAGAGTGAGGAGGAAGGAGGAAGCTGCAGAAATAAAGACCGAAGAGGAGTACGGCAGAATGGATTTGGCGTCAAAATGAAATGAAAAAGTTGAACATGCCAAAAGGAACTCTTATCTTGTGTAATTCAAGTGCCTCACTGAATTCCTCCTCCTGGTTTATCTTCACAGACTCTTTACCTTATTCGCCCTACTCTTTGTTTTTACAAGACATGTATTGATATTAAAAGTATTATTTACAAGAGGCAGTAATTAAGTCACTTGTGTTTATTTCAGATAAAGTGCAGCCAGACTTCAACAGAATTCTAAAAACAGAAAGTAAAACCTAAAAGACAATATTTATTGAGATTTAACTTCAGGTAGTCGCTCTGTACTATACTACACCATTTCTTTCAGATCCTTTATTTGTAAAAAGGTCTTTTCGATCGCAGCTGAAATGGTGACCTTCACCGCAAATTAAATGAAATAATAGTGACATAATTACTAATATTAGTAATATGCAAAGTTTGGGTTCATGAATATCTGAAACAAAAACTAGTTTGATCAAAATCTACTGGCGAATTCAGTTCGATTTTCAGGTAAGGATCCTTTATTTTTTTAAACAATTATGACTTGGGAATTTACTGATTGGGATATTTTCCAGTTGAAAAATGTACTTGTGAGCGCTCTCTGATGGACAAAGTGTTTATTGTGAAAATGATTCTAATATTTATACAAAAACACCTGCACATTTTTACAGAAATGTCAGTTTTATAAGCTCTTAGACTTTGTGCTTCCAGAACACTTTCCTGTTTTTTCTAATCCGTCTTTTTTATCGGCCCTTTCTTCCTCGTCTCTATCTCCGGCTTCTGCATCTTTCCTTTTTTTTTTTTTTACGCTTTACTCTCATAATTCCTCCTGCTCTTTCACCCAGTCTTTACCTCGATTTGTTTTGTTTCTTATCTGATTTTGTCTGGCCCCCAACACACTCAAACACACACACACTCACACACTTAATAACCCTGTCTCTCTTCTGTCTCTACATTCCCCTCTGTTGGCCTCCTCTGGCCAAATGCCATACGTTTTCCCAAAAGTGGTCCCCCTCTGGTTCTAGACACACATGCAGTTACCCCCCCCCCCCCCCACCCAACATCTCCGGCTCAATACACTCTGTATCGTATCTTTGATCTGCACAGGGGTGTTATGACAGTTTATCTTTCCCTGTGGTGAGAGTGAGAGAAGTACGCTGTTGGTCTATTCCTGGCTTTGTTTTGAAAGGAGCGCTAAACTCGCCATTCCACTCCCTGAGCAGTTTTATGATAGCGCACAAATGTGGAAAGCACAGATTCTTTGGCTGGCCAGCTGTGCAGTTTTGTTGAAAAAAGTGAATTTTCATTTGTGTGTTTGTGACCTCATTCGCTTATTTGTGTAGGAGAGTGGATGTGTGTTTACTCACTCTCTGTTTTTTTCTCTTTTTTTTAAATCTTAACGGGATTCTGTACATGATATGTGAAATATTAATGTAGGTAATTTTCTCATTAAAATAATTATCAAAGAAAGTCTGGATGGAGTTTGTTTGCTTGTCAAATCAAAGCTTCATTTTAAAAGTGGCATAATATCAATAATCAATCATTATTCTTTGGTGGTATTATTTTATACTTAAAGGTATGTTTCATCTAAATAATGCTCAG